AGTGATGAATAATTATTTTAATCAGTTGTATATCATTTTGAGGCGAAATTATGCAAATGAAGTTTATTTTGGTTAGAAGTTATGCAAAAATGACCTTATCACATTTCATGCTTTACCATGTTTACTATTCCATATTTCAGCTATTATGTCAGTACATTTTAGTCCTATATTGTATTTCATGATATTATTAAAGTAATAAAGGTTTTCTGGAACTGTGAAGTTTTTTTCTTTATTTGAATGGCTTCTACATGTACATGTATTTTCTATTTACAGTGTTTTCTCAAAACTTCAATTTTGGGGTTAAATCACATAATTATTTCTACCGGTATACAACTAATGTTTATGTGTGTACAGGGAGGGAGAGGGGTGGGGGGTGTTCATTCCCTTTAATAGTCTTCAACCACGAAGTTTTATGTTAATATTAGGTAGCTATGGTATTCTGAATACAAAACAAAGAAAAATTGGTACACCTTACTATTTTTCATATTCAATTTCCGTCCGTAATATTCCCAGAAACTTGGGTGTTTTCGTAATATGATACAATGAAAGCGTACCGACCAGTAGGTTATCGGCTACAAATTTACGCCAGTAATATTCCTCCAAAATTACATGTCTTCATTTACACGGCAGAAAATGAAAGCAAATTATCTCTGATAAGATTAAGAAAAGACTGTGATGTCAAAACATTGTTTGTCTTCATTATAAAATGGTATTTTAAAATTACATTGTAGCATCGACTACCATTTGCAATGCATGCATTTTTCGCCATGTTGTTGTAACATGTATTTGTCCACGTGCCTTTTTCCATGCCAAAATGAACCAAGTGTCATTTTAGTTGCAAAGTAGTTAAACCAATAAAAATTAAACTGGTGTGTATAGTTAATAACAGTGCACGCTTCGGATGGATACATTTTTGTATGATTATAGCCAGTGGAATATATTGTTGTTCAGTGAATGGAAAATGATTAAAATATTGTATGATTGCAAATGAGATGCCGGATGGAAACGTGGTTAATTCTTACGAAGGGAAATGGTTACAGATAAAAATTATTGTTTTCTGAATAATTATCAAGCTATATTTACGGGATTATCAAATTTAATGTTTGTACTAATGTTTAGTTAGATCGAGAACTGAATGACTGTTAAAATGTTAGCTTACAATTAGTTCATTGACTTGACTACTTTTAACCTCATCGAGCGACATCAAGGGGATTAAAATGTCCGTATGCTAGAAACAGCTAACATTAGCAAAAAACAATTATTGTTTGAAACCTTCCAAATATCATTATATAATACCATATATAATTATATATTAATATTATTATTTTATATAATACCATATTGTTATTATTTTATACAATACAATATTGTTATTATTTTATATAAATAACCAACATCTATTTATTTTATTTATTTATTAAGAATTAAAATTGAATTGAACTGAATATTTTGTAGGATGAAACCTTAAAAGCCTTGTTGTAATTTTACTATTTTATATCTATTTTCAGGTACTGGTATCAGTTGCATTTGGAACAAATTTTACTTTTGTACAATTTCATGTTTCATAAATGTACATTTTCGTTCTTTTTTTTTTCGATTAAAAAAAACTTATAACTTTTAATTGTTAAACATACATTATGCAAGAGCTAAATCTGTCTATTGCAGGATTTCTTTAAATCAACTCTAGATGGCATCGTTAGCCTGCGATCTTTAGTAGACTGTGAGCCGATTTACTGCATAACTTTCCTTCACGATTTAACGATTAAATGGATAATCGAGACTATGCTGTTTATCGTACTGACTTTAGTAATGATGATCAAGGCTAGGCGGAAATTCAATCGCTTTGGTCTCGATTCATAGTGGGTCAATTTGAATAAAATTTTCAACAAATTGCCTTTACATTATATAGTTTTTAACTATTATAGTGAGAACTGCCAACTCGTTATCGAATCTCCCATAATGTATCTTTAAGTATTAAGTATTAATGTGTTTAGATTCAGTTCCAAGGAGTATGGTCAACTGCCCAACCTCATGGGTTTTCTCTGTGGCATCCCCACTGCTAAGCAAATTATTGAATTAAAACGGTGGTGTATGTTAGTCCCAAATGACCTAGTCTGTGTCAAGTGGAGTTAAACACTCTATATAGTAGGGGCCTAGGCTATAGCCCAAATTTAAGCTTAACCCTGTTCATTGATAACCACTTTTTCTGCAAAAATGGGGCCTTATTTGTTATCTGAATAATTGTGAATTTAAAGTAGCTAAGTCTCTAAACTCAGGATCATCCAAAACCTTTGACATTAAAAACCTGAATTATTTGTCAATTTTAATCAACATTGGTGTTGTGATCTTGCCGGAAAAAGGTGGGCTTCTGAAAAAAAAATCCAATATTTAAGACAAAATAAACATTTTACGATTGGTACACGAATCGTGTACTGTCATAATGCATTTCAGCGCAATTTGTAACAAGCGACCCGAAGAACGAGGTTAGACATATTGCACAAGTCACAAACGGTGACCCCATATTCTTATCTGGAGAGCATGCGCAATAAATACTAACGCCCGGTATAGACTGGAATAACCAGTCCCTAGAGATTACCATTCGATTGAGACTTCTGGCGTATTACGCCAAACATAACTAAACTGCTTTGAAATTAGAGTAAAACGGAAACGATTGAATGTAAATCAGTTTATTTACATTCATATTACATTATTATATAGGCTACGTTGCCACCCATTTGTGTCAATTTGTAGGTCAGAAATATTAGCGATTTAGCTCCTTTAATAATTAAGAATAACCAAACTGTTATTCTACCAAGTTTCATGTCAATTCATTGAAAAACAAATTTTTTACATTGCACTGAAGTCAAATTACCACTTTTTTTGGACGAGATTTCGATTTTGGACCGAAAAAACAAAATTAATAAAAATTGAATATTAAAGTAGCTAAGTCTCTAACTCAATATCATCCAAAATCTTCAACATTGAAAACACAAATTATTTGTCAATTTAAATCAACATTGATGCTGTGATTTTACTGGAAAAGATGGGCTTCTGATATCCAATATTTAAGACAAAATTTACATTTTACCATTGGTACATGAATCGTGTACCATGCGTTTCAGCCCCAGTTCTAGCAAGAGACCCGAGGAACGGGGCTAGACATATTGCACCAAACCAAACGGCATATGTAGACTGGAATAACCAGGCGCTAGAAGTTTGCATTCGATTGAGACTGCTGGCTTATTTCGCGGAACATAACTGATTTGAAATTAGAGTAAAAACGGAAACCATTGAATGTATATCAGTTTATATACATTCATATTACAGTATTATATGAGTTCCGACCCACTTGTGTCAATTTCTACTGTGTGAACCGTGGAAAATAATAAACGGATTTCTTCGATTATGAACAAACTACTATACTTTGGTTATTATAAACTTACCTGTGTGTTTAAAATTACCTCCAGTTATATAAAATCCATTGTACAACTATATGTCCTAGCGAATAAAAAAGTTCTCTCTTGTAAAATTGAACTCATCACAAACTTTGACACCGAGAAATAACCAAAATGGAAGCTAATTACGTCACTTATCGGGATATATCATTTCGTATAGGGGGGTCAAAGCAAGGCTTGTCTGTCGTAATGGTTGTGTATGAATAAGCTATTTCTCTCGGAACCCAGTAATGAGTTTGGGCGTTTAAAAACATAAATACGCCCGTAGTCCGGTATTTTGTTTCCCTCTTGTATTATAATTATTTGGTTAGAGAGTTTGGTGGGATTATTTCTTTTGAACTATATTTGTTTTACTGACCTTGAATTAATTTCACCCTTGAATAGTTGAATATTTTTAACATTTCCTGATGAACTTAAGCAGTCCTGTCACTTAACCTCAGCAATCTGCTGTAGCCGAGGTAAATGCCAATGTATTTTACATTTGCCTAGACAACATTAATAGCTGAGGCCATTGAATCATTGAATAGGTATAGGCCTATAACGTTATTTTTTTTATATAAATACCAAAAATTATTATCAACAATTAATCATACCGCACACCGGATTAATTATCGGCAGATAGTTCAGTTTCTTTCTATTTCGCTCTGAATATTATTTCCGGTGTTCAAAAAACTGTTTAGAAAAATTTATAATCGTACGTGATCGGTAACACAATTAGAGACTTTTGGCAAGTTGAATTTTTCCCACCAGTATCCGTGTCGTCACGTGATACGTTGCGACAATGTAGTTTCAGACTTTTAGCAGATTTTCGCGCCGCGTACGTATGGGTAACTGAGCTGAGCGTAATTGCCCAAACTCAAAAAATCGAAACGTTCGTGCGCTGTTGTGATTACAACACACGTGATTCAACCTTTACCTTACCCCCTTCAACATATTATGATGGTTTAGCTCATGACGTGACATGTGTAATGTTGTGATGGACACTGTCGAAAATACAAGCAAAAACATTAACTTTTCAAGAGAGAACTTTTGTTTTGGTTTGGATATTTAATTGTGCAATGGATTTTATTCAACCGGAGGTGATTTCAAACACATAGGCAATTCAGTAGTTTGTTCACAATCGAAGAAATCCGTTTATAATTTACCATCCATGGTTCACACAGTAGGTCCCAAATGTTTTTTGTTAGCGATTTAGCTCCTTAAAAAGTATAAATAAGTCCGCCGATTCTAAAAATTTAAACGGTTTTAAAATTCTAATATTAAAGCAATTGCTCAAAAAATAAAATTTGGTTGATACATGCTACTAAAAAGAAGAATAACCGGTACGCCAGTACATGTGCCTTGTCACGTAATTAATTTTGCTGCCTGCTTCTCTCCCGAGTTGAAGTTAGGCCTAGTAACTAAGTTGAAGTAAGAATATTTTTCAATACTAACTACAGAGAAACTATAAGTATTAGACTAAAGATCTGTAAATATAATGAATATAATATAAGATGTAAGAATATACATGTACTCCAAATTCCCGCAGAAACATTCTATGTTTACCTGTCGTGTCAGATCTGATTATGAAACCAATTTGAGTTGACCAATTTTACGTCAGTGAATAAGCCGGCAAGAATAAAATGATCACGTGCCTGAAAAGATGACAGATGTTTCGCCCCAATCTATGGACAAAGGACTTATTTTCTATCAGTATCACATATCTCGAGTCAAAGATATAAATAAAATAAAATTACAATTCATAAAATAGTTAATGGTAATTAATTTTGCACCGAACATGTACAATAAATCTGCCACAAACCTGTTATAAATTGGAAGTTGTATCGGGTGCACAGCCTTTTGAAAGATGCCTGGGCATTGAAATATTTCTATATGTGCCTGGGAATGCATTACTCGAGTAAGAGCTGGACCGCAGCAAGTTTTACCGGAAGTTACGAAATTGTACTTCCTAAAACATCGTGTTAAACGTAGTCTACAAAAATATCTAGTTTTTCCTTCAAACTTAGTTGCTTTTGTAAAACTTAACTTCCAAAATGCCCCGTATCATGATTAAAGGGGGTGTTTGGAGAAACACGGAAGATGAAATTTTAAAGGCAGCGGTAATGAAATATGGCAAGAATCAATGGGCACGAATAGCTTCGTTGTTGCACAGAAAATCGTCAAAACAATGTAAAGCACGTTGGTATGAATGGCTTGATCCAAGTATCAAAAAGACAGAATGGAGCAGAGAAGAGGAAGAAAAGTTGCTTCATTTGGCCAAATTGATGCCAACACAGTGGAGAACAATAGCACCAATTATTGGTCGAACTGCTGCACAATGTTTAGAACATTATGAATACTTATTGGATAAAGCCCAGAACCGTGACCAGGATAATGAAGATGACCCCCGGAAACTTAAACCTGGAGAGATAGATCCGAATCCAGAGACCAAACCAGCTCGTCCAGACCCCGTTGATATGGACGAAGATGAACTGGAAATGTTATCTGAAGCACGTGCTCGATTAGCCAACACTCAAGGTAAAAAAGCTAAACGTAAAGCCAGAGAAAAACAACTGGAGGAGGCCAGACGCTTAGCTGCACTTCAAAAAAGGAGAGAATTAAGAGCTGCAGGAATTGAGAGCAAACAGAAGAAACGGAGGAAAAGAGGTGTTGATTATAATGCTGATATTCCATTTGAAAAGAAACCAGCTCCAGGGTTCTACGACACATCTAATGAAAAATATGACCCTTTGGACCCCAACTACAAAAGATTACGACAGCAGAATTTGGATGGTGAATTGAGAAGTGTGAAGGAAGATCGTGAAAGACAAAAGGATAAGAGGAAACAGAAGAAACGAAAAGAAAATGATTTACCAGGAGCAATTGCAAGTCAAACAAACTTTCAAGAACCTGTAAAAAAAAGAAGTAAACTAGTATTGCCAGCTCCTCAAATATCAGACATGGAGTTAGAAGAAGTGGTGAAGGTTGGTCAGGCCAGTGAGTATGCAAGACAACAGGCACTTGAAGCTGGACCAGAAAATGCAGCATCAAAAGGTTTGCTCCAAGACAGTAGCACCTCTTTAACACCTGGCAGATTAAATCTTCAAACTCCAAGAACTCCTGCAATACAGGATAACATTCTACAAGAGGCACAGAATATCATGGCACTTACAAATGTTGACACACCACTGAAAGGAGGCTTGAATACACCACTACACAACAGTGATTTTGAAGGAATTACACCACGACAACAAGTGCTGCATACACCAAACACTATTTTAACAACACCATCTCGAACACCAGGGGAAATAGAAACAATGGGCAGTGGAAAGACACCAATAAGAACACCAATAAGAGATAATCTGAACATCAACCAAGATAATGATCTTGATCCCTCCCATTTGGATAAATATCAACAATATCATCTAAAAAATCAGTTAGCTGGATTACCTGCACCAAAAAATGATTATGAAATAGTTGTTCCAGACGATGAAATGGACAGTGAAGATTTACTCACCAATCCTAATTTAGTGGTAGAAGATCAGTCCGACTTGGATGCTAAATATCTTTATGATATTGAACAGAAGAGATTGAAAGAACTTAAACTGCGATCACAGGCTGTACAGAAAGACTTACCAAGACCAGCCGATATCAACATGAATATTCTTAAATCAGTTGGACCCAATGACACTCCCTTGATGGATCTTCAGAAAGCAGAGGAAGCCATTAAGAAAGAAATGTTGACCATGCTACACTATGATGCTCTGTATAGTCCAGCACTATCCGGAGCAAATCAAAGCAAAAAACAATCACAAACTAAAAGTTTGCAAAATTTGGCTCAACACAAAGCTTATCTTGAAAATGTTTCCTATGAAAAGTTTAGTGAAGATGAAATTCAGAATGCACACGAAATGCTTCAGAAGGAAATGAAACATGTGAAAGAGGGAATGGGTCATGGTGATATCTCAATAGAAGTTTTTACACAAGTCTGGGAAGAGTGTTACTCTCAAGTACTCTATTTACCATCACAGAATCGCTATACAAGAGCTAATTTAGCTAGTAAGAAAGATAGGATAGAATCCCTTGACAAACGTCTGGAAACCAATAGAAATCACATGACACGTGATGCTAAAAATGCAGCAAAATTGGAAAAGAAACTTAAGATTCTTTTAGGTGGTTATCAGTCACGTGGACAGGGATTAATTAAACAAATTACTGATACTTACGAACAAATCGAGCAAACATTTGTTGAATTTAAAACATTTGAAAACCTACGTCAGCATGAAATTGGTGCCATTCCTAAAAGGCTCGAATCCTTAACAGAAGATGTTGAAAGACAAATGGAGAGAGAAAGTGAATTACAAAAGCGTTACAGTGAAATGCAATATAAACTTGATCATATTTTGTCTATTAATGATTAATTTATCATCTTAGACTTAGTTGAACATAATATTTTGGCAACATGATTAAATTTTCCTTGTGTTTGAGGGGTAATACATGTTAAATTTATCCATGATTTAAACAAAAAAGTGAATTGAAAAGGTTTATATAGATGTATATAAACACAGATACTAATATATATAATGAAACAGAAAGACCTTTTCCTGTAATAGTAAAGATTTACAGTGTATTGTATATAATAGTCTAATAGAATCACCAGTCTGAGAATTTTAAAGTAACATGATTGTTTTGTGTTGCTTTTGTAAGTATTATATCTCCAGGTTCCATATTCTGTAAATACCCCAATAGATGTTTGCATGAAAAAGTTTTCAGTGACATGAGTAATTTAACTTTCAGACCAATTGTTGCATGTCCCCAAATGTTTATGTGCTCAAGAAAAATTTATTACACAAATAAATATATGAGAAAGTGTCCTCCATACATACTTGTTAAAGCTGTCGGTGCAGCATGTAACAGACCTACGGTGCAAGGAAAGCATGAAGAGCATGTTTGGGGAAATCAGCCATTTCACTGAAGAAAGTTTTAACCCATGAAGGTGCACGTTGTGAGAATCACATAGCAGGTATCATGGGGTCCATATGGACCCCAGTTATAATTCAAGTTTTTACGTACAGATATATTTGAATTAAAAGTCAGCATTTTGGTTTTTATTTGCATTCATATTTGACATCTGAAAAACCACTAAATTATTATCCAAAAACATTTTAGTGACATACGGAAAAGATTTTATAATTCTCTCAAATTGCTACTTTGTGTACTATGTGATAAAGAGGTTAAATGGCAATTCACGCTTGGTACAAAAACAACTGAATATTTGGAATTCATCATTTAATTTTTGTCCCCACCCCCTTTCGAAGAAAGCAGGGGACTAATATAATAGGTTCGTCTGTCTGTCCGTCACACTTTTATCTTGAAAATGTTTCCTATGAAAGAATCCCCGGTTGTACGTGACAAGGAATAGGGGCGCCTGTCCAACCTCGTGGGGTTTTTCCGGGTCCTCCGGTTTCCTCCCACTGCTAAAGACTCCTACGGGCAAGCGAATTATTGAAATAAAATTAAAAACCATATGTTAGTCCCGAAATGACCTAGTTTGTGTCGAGTGGACGTTAAACTCCATTTCTCTCTCTCTTTTCCTATGAAAATTTTAGTGAAGATGAAATTCAGAATGCACACGAAATGCTTCAGAAGGAAATGAAACATGTTAAAGAGGGAATAATAATAAAAATAACTAGATCTGCTACTGTCCCATGTGGATATTCATCGTCACGTGTCATCGATTATATCAAGTACCTTAAAAGAACAAGAAAAAATAATTTACAAAATTGGTCAAAAACTCGCGAGAGAGAGAGAGGTCTAAATATAGTGAGAAAAATGGCGGGAAAGAACTAAAAAAAAGGCAGGAAAATATCGAAAAATTAAATGAGATAACTTTGAACGGAACTAATATTTTTTTTAATCAGATTGACCTCGGCTGTTCGTATATTATGGTTAAATTTGTAAATTTTGAAAATTAAAGTCATAAATTGTCCTGTAAACAACTTTGTCGGCACGTAAAAGGTCAAAGGCGAAATTCTAAATTTGTAGGTCAAAGTTTCAGAAAGATCCTATGGTTAGATTCTGAGAAATCCGATTTGCAGAAAACACACACACAAAAAATAATAACTAGATCTGCAAAGCAGATATCAAAGCTTTCATATTAACTGCAAAAGGGGTTATTAGAATCTATTGAAACAATAAGTATAAATGTTATCAGGTATCTGAAAAATTACATTTACCTTATGAACAAGATGGGGAAAAATACAAAACAAAAATTGTCGTGTTGTGGCTACCCTCAAGTCATATTTAGAAAACAGTATATTATATACAGAGTATGTTAACTCTTGAATAGACCTTTTCGTAGTTTCGCGTACGCAGGACAAGAAGTAGTTGTACTTCAATGTAAACAGGCCCGTTCCTTGCATTTAGTTTTAGAGTTAGACTGAAGGCTTCCACCATACACAAGACGTCAAACTGTTGCCGGATGCAAGACAGAGAATATCCCCACGCATCCCCAAAACACACACTTGCATAACTCAGATATTGACATGTTCTTTGCGTGCGCATTACAATAGAAGGGAATTGAAAATTAAAGTTGAACAATTCACAGCGTAATAATCTTAGATCGGTAGAATCGGACAGACGCCGGCAATCCAAATATACTATACTATTCAAAAAAAGTAGGGGATATTTGATTTTTAAGTGTTATTAAAGTCACCTAATGAAACTGACGAAGAAACAAATGACAAAATGAAATGAAGTTCACATTCATCGATTTATTCCAAATGATCGTTAGACTAAGTAAGGCACAGACTGACCATTATAAGGGTAAAATGATACCCGGGGTCAAACAGCAAAGTTACCACAGCATCACAACCAAGTCAGTAACGGGTAAATCCTCCTCTGTTTGCCAAACAAGCATTGATCCGACGTGGCATACTCCTAATGAGACGTCTAAGGTCATTTTGGTCCAGATTGTCCCATTCCTGTTGCAACGCAGCAGCAAGTTCTTGGACATTGGCAGGACGTTGTTGACGTTGACGTAACCTCTGTCCAAGCATGTCCCAGACATGCTCGATGGGGGAGAGGTCGGGACTCAGTGCTGGCCAAGGTAATATGGTGATGTTCTGTTGTTGGAGGTAACCTGTAACGATCCTGGCCCTGTGACATCTTGCGTTGTCATCCTGGAAGATGAAACGGCGGCCATGACGTCGTGCGAACGGCACAACATGGACTGCCAAGATGTTGTCCCGGTAGTACTGGCCTGTAACACGTCCTGCAACAACATGTAAAGCCGTTCTTCCAGCAACAGTGATGCCTCCCCACACCATAACAGAACCACCCCCAAATCGATCATGTCTGATGACGTTAACGTCTTGGAAGCGCTCGTTTCGACGACGCCACACCCTCCTACGTCTGTTCAAAAAATCAACAGTGAACCTTGACTCATCTGAAAACATCACATTGCTCCAGCGTCGATTATCCCAGTGTTGACGATCCCTACACCAACGACGTCTTGCCTGAATGTGATGATCTCTCAAACAAGGGATCACGCGAGGACGTCGGGCGCGAAGGTGACCCCTATGCAGTCGATTCCGAATCGTCTGGCCACTCACTCTCACGCCAGTGTCTGTTTGAAGACGAGCGCTGATCTGATTTGCTATGATGACACGATTTCTCAAGGCCAAGGTACGGATAAATCGATCCTGGGCTTGAGTTGTCGCCCTTGGTCGACCTGAGCGTGGTCTGTCCTGTACAGATTGTGTATCACGGTATCTGGACCATAGCCTGCTTATGACAGACTGAGAAACATTCATCGTCCGCGCCACAACCGCCTGTGTTGTGGCGATCTGTAGCATGCCAAGGGCACGTAACCTTTCATTTTGGGTAAGCCGACGCATATCAAAATTTGTTTTCTGGTCACTAAAACAATTAAACTGATGTTTCCACCCTGGAATTCAATGCCACAATGACTGTAACATTCAAAGTCAGATTCGTGCAAATCTTGGGTTGGACCCCCATGATGATCCCAAGCATCACCTGCATTCCATGCGGTAGCTATTGGTGCGTTTGGGCGTCACATGTAACTGGAAATGTTTCTTCTGTTAGGTTCTATAGTGACTTTTTTCGTAGTCATTTGCATATTTTAGTATTATGCCCCCAAAATCAAATATCCCCTACTTTTTTTGAATAGTATATGTAATTGAAAACTCAAAATTCCAAGAAATTACAATTTTCGTAAATTTTCAAGAAAAAATGAGAATGGCATGGTATCTCAATTCGACCGTAATGGCATCCTTAATATACCCGGCTGTACAAAAATATAACTTTTTCGAAAATCGGTTGGGAATTGATATAATTAGGGCCGATTTTCAATTTTCGTGCACGTTAAAGATTTACATCAGAACTCTATCTGTTATAGTTTCAGAGATCTACACGAATTGTAAAAGGAATAAAAAAAAAAACAGTTTTCCGAATGGGACAAAGAAAAAGTATCTTTAGTCTCAGTAAAAAATCAAAACCCTAAATCATACTTACCAGCATTAATTTTTCATTACTGATATAGAGGTGCGAGTTCCTTATAAATAGCTGCTTTATTTTCACTGGTATCAAGTGATGACATTATGTAGACAAAAAAACTGGGATATTAATTTCAGGGTAACTGTTATTTACTAAAATGAATAATTTTCACTCTAGAAGCATCAATCCCATATCTTGGTTAACAGTAGAACACCCTTAGTTCAAATGTGGCCAGGTGGGTTGAATGGCCGAATGGTTAGCACGTGCGCGCTGTATCATAAGACCTGTCATTGAGTCAACTGGCGTGGTTTCGAATTCCCGGTTGTATGTGACAAGGAGTAGGGTCGCCTGTCCAACCTCGTGGGTTTTCTCCGGGTCCTCCGGTTTCCTCCCACTGCTAAAGACCCCTAGCTACGCGCAAGCGAATTATTGAAATAAAATTAAACCGTATGTTAGTCCCGCAAATGACCTAGTTTTTGTTGAGTGGACGTTAAACCTCATTTCTCTCTCTCTCTCTCTCTCTCTCTCTCTCTTTCAAATGTTGCCACTTTGAAAAAAAGCTCTCTATATATTCTTTATAGGTATGCAAAACGTTCCGATTATTAGTATTATTATTATTATTATTATTACTAGCAAAATACCTGGCTTTGCTCGGGGGTCATAACTCCAAAACCGGAAGTGGTAGACTAACGCCACCTGGCCTATGTTACTCCCCGGTCCGAGCTACCCCTATACCCCAAATTTCAGACTCGGGGGCAGACCTAGTGTAGCCGCCAACCCCGAACAGACTGGCTTCGCTCGGGGGTCATAACTCCAAAACCGGAAGTGGTAGACTAACGCCACCTGGCCTATGTTACCCCTATACCCCAAATTTCAGACTCGGGGCAGACCTAGTGTAGCCGCCAACCCCGAACAGACAGACTTCGCCCGGGGGTCATAACTCCGAAACCGGAAGTGGTAGACTAACGCCACCTGGCCTATGTTACTCTCCGGTCCGAGCTACCCCTATACCCCAAATTTCAGACTCAGGGCAGACCTAGTGTAGCCGCCAACCCCGAACAGACAGGCTTCGCTCGGGGGTCATAACTCCGAAACCAGAAGTGGTAGACTAACTCCACCTGGACTATGTTACTCCCCGGTCTGAGCTACCCCTATACCCCAAATTTCAGACTCGGGGCAAATGTATCCGCCAACCCCGAACAGACAGCTTGGGGGTCATAACTCCAAAACCGGAAGTGATAGACTAACGCCACCTGGCCTTTGTTACTCCCCGGTTCGAGCTACCCCTATACCCCAAATTTCAGACTTGGGGCAGACCTAGGTAGCCGCCAACCCCGAACAGACCGCCTTCGCTCGGGGTTCATAACTCCAAAACCGGAAGTGGTAGACTAACGCCTGGCCTATGTTACTCCCCGGTCCGAGCTACCCCTATACCCCAAATTTCAGACTCGGGGCAGACCTAGTGTAGCCGCAAACCCCGAACAGACAGACAAACGACAGTCACAAATATATATATAGATAGATCTACAGCATATTTATAGTGCAGCCTTTCATATAACATGTTCAGGGGCACATTACAAAATGACAGTGTAAGCATAAATAATCAACAAGATTGTGGACATGTTAACGATTGTATAAATGTGTTTTAAGTTGTTTTTTTAAATACATAGAGATGTAGGCCTACAACATCTTAAACTAAATGGTAGATCATTCCATAAAACAGTTGCTTGATAACTAAAAGAGCGTTGACCATAAGAGACTAGTTGAACTGTTTTGGGCTTTAAAAGTAGTTTAAACTAAATGAAATGAAATGGGGTTTAACGTCCTACTGTTCTGCTCCGAACTGGGCTAATGAAGACGGGCATACGCCATACAGCTGTGTGCTATGAGGGAAGTTTTCCCGGACAGCGGCACTACGTGACTTTAACAGATTTAGAATATATACATTGTATCTAGATTCATACATAGGCTATTTGACTGGTGCGTAGTGTATTGTGTTGATTTATAACTGGAGGTGTGGTTTATTAACTGTCTGATTACCACATTATGTTTCCTAAATTATGAATTAGATCAGTGCGTTGGGAGAAATGACGATATTAAGATGTGGTCTAAACCCTGGCGGTCGATACATTAATATTTATGCCCCTTGGTCTAGGAGCGCTGTGATTCAACATGTCGGCTCCATCGCTTGTCAACAATTTTGAGGTTCCATCGTGGTAGGTTTACGCGTGCCCCCCGTCTTTATTTCTGTATTATTTAGACCCATGGCATGAACTTTTACCCCCTGAAATACGATATTGCTACATTCAAAGGCATATCAGTTTATCGGCGTAGACCGGCCTCGCAACTGGGCGAATACACGATCATATCCGATGTGTCTAGTCTTAGGTCTTGACTGAGTTAGTATGTTAATGTAGGCCTATAGTTTACTGTTCAGCTCTGAACGTAGGTCTCATTACACTCGACCAGTACGTTCAGGAACCGTCCTATTGAATCCTTGTCGAAAAACTTTTCACTGCTAAACGGTCGCGTTTCAGTCTCTGTGGAGGCCAGTAAGCTACAATAACATTTTAGTGACAAAATAAGAAGACCTTGCTTACTCGCTAAGAGTCACAAATTTCATACATATATATTGGGTTAGAGTGTTAGGTTCAGTAAGTAAAACAAGGGATTTAACTCTAGACGTAATAAATGGAAATTGTTGAAAGTCAATAGGCTTCTTCATTTCACTAATTTAAATATTGCATATAAATTTCAGAAAGATCGGATGATAACTTTTGGCATTAAAGCGTTCACAATGTTCAGTAAAGCGAAACAAGGGCCATAACTCTAGACGTAATAAAAGGAAATTGTTGAAATTCAATAGGCTTCTTCATTTCACTAATTTAAATATTGCATATAAATTTTGGCGTAATAGCGTTCACACGGTTCAACAAAGTAAAACAAGGGCCATAAATAGGCTTCTCCGTCTCACTAATGTTAACCACATATATCAATTTTAAAACAATCGGATAATAACTTTTGGAATTAGAGTGTTCATAAGAAATTGTGGATGACAGACTGACAAATGGACGGACGGACAGGGGTGACGGCAATATACGTCCACATGTGGGCGTATAAAATATGGTCCAGACTCCATGCAGTGTTCCACATTAAATAAATCATAATGCTATGCTGGAATTTTATCTGTACAGCAGCATTTACAGGCAAGCTTGGTCTATGCTAGGCTTGAGATTTTAGTTAACACGACCATAGTCTCTATTTAGATAGATTGTCAAGTTGTAGAAAAGTAACCTTATACATTATTGATTGTCATGAAATGAAATGGGGTTTAACGTCCTACTGTTCTGCTCCTAAACTGGTCTAATGAAGACGGGCATACAGTGTGCTATGAGAGAAATTTTGCCCGGGCAGCGGCGCTACGGCCTACTCTTATATCGAATTCCAAACGCCAATATGTACACGGGACCTCAGTTTTTCGACCCATCCGAACGACTAGACAGCTGTCTTTGTCAGGCCCACCGTCCTGCATCACTGACAGTGACAAGGGGGAACCACGCCGGGAAATCTGGATGAACTTTCTCGGCCAATGCATGGATCAAACACCCGACCTCCAGGCTAGAGTGTTAGTGTCGCTGAAGGGGTCGTTGTCAGCTATAATTAGTTTTATACATAGACAAGTACCCGTGCTACCCTTCTAATCTGCATCCAGGGTACTTAAGTTTGTAAAATCTTGCAAGCAGTAACATGATATTGTCATAAAATATATTGCTACTGCGGTTTGCCTTTGGAATTCAAAAAGCGCAAAATAATGTCAGTTACAATAAACCAGACCAATCTTCGTGATTATTATTAACAGTTTAACATGTGTGCGTTAGATCAAAAGTTCTGTCATTGTGTCAAGTTAGGTGGTTTCCATTCCCCGCTTATTTGTGACAAGGAATAGGGTCGCCTGTTCAAACCTTGTGGGTTTTCTCCCACAGCTAAAGACCTTTATGCGCAAGCGAATTATTGAAATAAAATTGAACCATATGTTAGTCCCGAAATGACCTGATTTGTGTTGAGTGGACTTTAAACTCTATTTCTCTCTCTTGTTGATTAATGTGTGATCAGGCGAGAGTCAACATTCAGATACCCTTATGGGAAATCGGGTAGGGAGAACCCCATCTTCAATAGAAGGCTTGATCTCGCCTTAACTACATACATCTTATCAAGCCCTTCACGTAATACCCCGCATATTTTAGCACTAATTTCAATTGGGTAGAAGGCCAGCTTGTGATCCTATCAGATTCCTTCGTTAAAAATATGGTTACGATTATCAAGTCTTGCGCTAAAATGTCTACATGTGACAATTGAGTTGCAAAGTTCAAGGTTCGATCAATGTCAAGGTTGCTGGAAATCATGGTTGTAAACTTGTCTATTTCTTTTTCTATGGAGGCCGCCATATTTGTTTACAGTGTGTTATGTGCCACGACCTCTGATTGGACAATGCTAATTAGTCACGTGTAAACACAACGAGCGCAAAAATTCGGGAATTGTTGAGTATTGACGCAACGACAAGATGTTGTAAAACTTGCGGTTGTTGCTTCAGGAACCCAAGATCATGGATACTTGTCTGTAGTATGGCCGACAACAACCCCTTCAGCGTAGTGTCCTTCACTGGTACAATGAGCTCTGAAACATGGTCCGAATTGGTGTTTTTTGTAAAGATCATTTATGCAAATTTCTTTTTATGTTTGCTTATTTTTTTTAAGCTACATAACAGTAAACAATTTTAAATTAAAATTTTGTGATTTTAGGGCAGGGAAACCAGCTCCAGGACTTCATCTTGATGTAATAAAGGAAGGTAAAATGGTTCAGGTAAATATAAGTAGCAAAACTTCTCAGGTAGTTGATGTTGGTCAATCCATAATTTACGATCTCAGTCTTATTCGCTGAAACATCTTGATGTGTTTTGAGAAAATTTAGTACCGTAATTATGTTGCTTATAATAATATAATGTATGGTACTTTTTATGAGCCCAAATTTTAACTGGGTTGTATATTGTTGTAGTCCTGTTTATTATTCGTTCATAGTCTGTTAACACTCTAGAAGCTACCATTCTGATCTGATCTTTGTAAAATATTATTACATTATTCTCCTGTTACATGTAATAAGGGCACAAAGCCTATTGAATTTAGACTTTTAACTTTTGGAGTTTAATCACGATATGATATGTATCACAATGCAAGAGACATGATACAATCTGAATCAGATACAATATTCGGGTCACAAAACAAACTGAACAAGAAAACCAACTTGTTTGCACCGATTTCTGACTGAAACATGTCATTTATTCAAGACCTTATTATGAGTGACATTCTTACCTCCTCTCACAATGCTGATGTTGGTACCGATATGTGTGGTCTGTTGCATGACAACATGTTTATATTAAGAAAAAAAATGTGCGCTGGTATTAACATGTTAAATTAGGGTACATGCAATTTCTAGCCTCTAATTGATTATCATTTTGTTTTACAGAAATTGATGATAGATGAAAAGAAATGTTATTTTTTTGGTCGGAATAAACAATTGTGTGACTTTTGTATTGATCATGCATCTTGTTCTCGAGTTCACGCAGCTTTAGTGTGGCACAAACATCTAGCACGACCGTTTATTATGGATTTAGGGAGTAGTAAGTATATAAGCTTATATAACTGTAATTAGGGTTTAGAGCTGGCTGGTCCAATGCTTTGCTCTGCAGATCACACATGTCACTGTGCCATATGATCTATTCAAACCATTGTGACATTTATGATTTCTGCTTTCCTCCCACAACAATTTTAACAACTCTTCATGTATATGTGTGGAAATTAAACCTACAGGTTGATGTATTTCCATCTTCAAGCAATAGATAAATAATGATGACAAATACGAGATTCAACTTTTTAAAACATTCTAGACTCCTGTATTCAATGCTATGCTAGATATTGTGTTTATGATTTGTCTAGTGGAAAGGGATCTTGCAATACTAATTGAACAGCAGTACCAGTATATTTTTTTTTAGTATGTAGATGAAACATCTTTAATAAATTGAAAATATACCATTATGAGTTCTATTCAGTACAGGTTAGACCCCATTTATCTTTTCTGTATCTCATGTGACAGAAACAAGATATAAATGACCATGTGTTTTCATGTTCAGAGAAAAGTATATGTACCTTTTATAATTTTACAGCACATGGGACATATATTGGACGAATGAGGCTAGAGAAGCGAAAACCTCAACAGGTTCCTATTGACAGTGAATTACATTTTGGTGCATCAACCAGAATATACATAATTAGAGAACGACCGCAACCACTTGGTTTTGATGACAAAGAAAAACATGATGAACATGAAGGAAATTTACTGGGCTTACCTCAAACAGAAACAGAATTAGATGTAAGTTTAATTAAAGTGGCTCATCATCATTTTCATTTTATAGACAATAGCTAAAACTAACTACAAGTTGCCATAACACTGTATTCGTTAAATGGCACTGTTACACTTTTTACAATTTTTATACACTCACCGAATTACTATATGTAAATACCTGTACTATTCCCATCCCCTTTAATACTGTATGTTATATTAGGACTTTATCTTAAAATACTGTCAAACAATTAATACACCCACAGTGAAGCCATATCTCAGCCCTACTTAAGGCAAAACCATAACTATATGTCCCCTCATGGTTGCGTCACAAAATTCATAAACAGGTCAATATTTACAAAAAAAACAAAAGGGTAAATGAATAATTGATTTTTTAATGGAGTCACAAATTGCAATTACTGTCCTGGGCTTGAAATGTTTGTTTGTCTACTTGTGGCTGACAGATCAAAATAAGGACCAAAACAAATTTAAGAGTGTTTATGTACCTATGGATAATGTGTGACATGGATAATTAAGAGTGATAGGCTAGTTACTGAAGCAACAAAATAACATAAAAAAGAATCACGATACATCGATTCAGCGTCTCGTAATTCAATACACACAATAGTGAGAAGGTGAATGCGAAAGCCCGGTACATAGATTCAAGAATAATGAGACCCTTTGATAAACCTTTTATGTTTTGTTGATTATATATCTTGTAATATATGCATTCTTTATATGTCAGGTGCTCTACTTGATAATGAACTGTAAATTTTTTTGGTTTGTTGTTTTTTGGAATATCAATTTTTATACACCCACATTTTCATGTGGACGTATTATGCAGTCGCCCCTGTCCGTCCGTCCACAATTTGTTTGTGGACACTCTTTTATTCGATTTTGACGAAACTTAAAATATAGGTCTATCTCCCAAAGATCTCGGTTACTTTCGATATTAGCATATATCGAACCATAATTCATGGATCATGGCCCCTGATTGTACGAAAAACCATGTTTTTAACTTGTAGACACTCTACAGGTCACAATTTTCATGATTTTGATGAAACTTGAAGTGCATATTTACAACCCAAAGATCTTGGTTCCTTCTCTAGAGGGGGGTTGGATGGCTGAATGGTTAGCGCGCGTGATTTCGAATCCCCGGTTGTACGTGGCAAGGAGTAGGGTCGCCTGTCCAACCTCGTGGTTTTTCTCCGGGTCCTCCGGTTTCCTCCCACTGCTAAAGACCCCTACGAGCAAGCGAATTATTGAAATAAAATTAAAAACCATTTGTTAGTCCCAAAATGACCTAGTTTGTGTCGAGTGGACGTTAAACCCCATTTCTCTCTCTCTCCTTCTCTAGAAGTAACAATTTTTATCCAATTTAAAAAAAAAAAAATGTTTGGGTATATTTCCGTTACGCCCTAATGATGGCCAAGTTCGAATTTCGTGAAAATCTGACCAAAATGGCCCCCCTCCCTGTAGGCAAATAGTGTAAAAATATGGTATATCAAGGTTGTGGACCCTCTAGAGTCCACAATTTTGATCTGATTTTGATGAAATTTGAAATACATATTTATAACCCAAAGATCTTGGTTCATTTCGATATTCACGCATAACGCATATCGAATCTTAACTTCCTGAATAATGGCCCTTGATTGTACAAAAAATCACATTTTTACCTTGTGGTCCCTCTGGAGGTCACGATTTTTATCCGATTTTGATGAAACTGAAAGTATATGTTTATGTCCTAAAGGTCTCAGTCCATTTCGATATTTGCGCACTTCAGATGATAACTTTTTGGATTATGGCCCCTAATTGTATAAAGAATAGCTTTTGTTTTTAGCTTGTTCTCTATCCATCTCTTGCAAAATGTGGGCGTATCTTGCCTTGCAACTGCTGGTTCCTGGGTTTGGGGATTAGAAATAGGGGTGCGTGTTATATTTATATGACAGCCTGGTATATGCCGGTATATTTATTGAAAGTAAATAATCCTTTAAAATCTATTTAAGTTCCATTGAAATTTACTATTTTATTATACGCCCACATGGAAATGTGGACGTATATTGCCGTCCTTCCGCCCGTCTGTCGTCCATCCATCCGCCCGTCCGTCCGTCCGTCCACAATTTCTTGTAAATGCTCTAATGCCAAAAGTTATCATCTAATTGTTTTAAAATTGATATATGTTCTTTGCACTAGTGAGATGAAGAAGCCTATTTAATTTCTGTTTATTATGTCTAGAGTTATGGCCCTTGTTTCACTTCGTTGAACCTTGTGAACGCTCTAATGCCAAAAGTTAACATCTGATCTTTGTGAAATTATGTGCAATATTTAAATTAGGGAAACAAAGAAGCCGATTGAATTTCAGCAATTTCCATTTATTACTTCTAGAGTTATGGCCCTTGTTCACTTTGTTTAACCTTGTGAACGCTCAAACGCCAAAAGTTATCATCCGATCTTTGTTAAATTTATATTCATTAATTAAATTAGTGAAACGAAGAAACATATTGAATTTCAGCAATTTCCGTTTATTACGTCTATAGTTATGGCCCTTGTTTTATCTTGTTGCACCTTGTGAATGCTCTAACATCAAAAGTTATCTGCCGATCTGTATGAAATTGATATGTGTCATTTAAATTAGGAAAAAGAAGAATCCTATTGAATTTCAGCAATTTCCGTTTATTACTTCTATATATGAAATTGATATGTGTCATTTAAATTAGGAAAAAGAAGAATCCTATTGAATTTCTATAGTTATGGCCCTTGTTTCACTTTGTTGCACCTTGTGAATGCTCTAACATCTAAAGTTATCTGTCGATATGTATGAAATTTATATGCGTCATTTCAGTTAGTAAAAAGAAGAATCCTATTGAATTTCCGCAATTTCCTTTTATTACGTCTAGAGTCATGGCACTTGTTTCACTTGTTGTACTATGCAGTGCTAGGACTATCTAGGAAAAAGTGCTAAATTTTGGATGCTTGGGTTTGGTCCGGTTCACTGATTTTAATTGCTTGGTATGCTGATCCAAACAACATGTCCGTCTTGATTTGCATTGCCCTAATATAAATTATGTAAGCGTTGACAACTATGAACCGGCCAGTGGGAGTATCAAATAACTTAACATTTTAATTTCTAAAATAAAAATCTCATTTTATATAAAGTCTTTGATATCAGTTGTTTAGTCTTCCAAAAACCAAGTTTTATCATGCTGAGCTATTTTTGTACGCCCACATTTCAAGTGGACGTGTATTGAGTCACCCCTGTCAGCCCACAATTTATTTGTGGACACGCGGTTCCTTTCGATATTGGCATTTTATCCAATATTAAAAGCTGTTCTAACATATCATCATTCCACCATTATGATGGTTGAGTTCGAATTTCATGAAAATCGGATTGAAACTGCCCGCTCCTCGTTCCAGATAGTGTAAAAGTATATAATACCAAGGTTGTGGACACTGTAGAAGTCATAATTTTTTTTTATCCGATTTTGATCAAACTTAAATATATGTCTATATTCCACAGATTTTTGTTTCTTTCCATATTCGCACATATCGGTCCGTAACCTCCTAGATTATGGACCCTGGGTGTACCAGAAATTATAGTTTATACCCGAATTTAAAAACCGTTTAAATATACACCGTTACACCCTGGGTTTCGTGATAATCGGATCGAAGGCTGTGGTCCCTCTAGCGATTTGTATCCGGTTTTGAAAAAAAATGAATATTATATGTTTATGTATCAAAGATCTCTGTTTGATGTTCGCGTATATCGGGCCTAACTTCTTGCCTTGTGGCCCCTATTGTACGAGAAACCATGGTTTTCTTTTAGCTTGTCGGATTATATGTTCATATCCCAAAGTTCTGAGTTCCTGTCGATACTTCAGACCGTGTCTGCCTGGATGATGACCTCATTTTTTAGCTTGTTCTCTGTTCATCTCTTGCGAAATGTGGGCGTCTCTTGCATGACAACCGCTTTTTTGAAATATATTTCATATTGAAATTCACACTGTATATCAAAGTAGCTAAGTCGTTAACTCAATATCATCCACAGTCTTCCGGCATTGAAAACGCGAATTATTTGTCAATTTAAATGAACGTTGATGTTGTGATTTTACCAGGAAAAGATAGGCCTATGCTTATGATATCCAAATTGTATAGAAGCCTATAACTACCGTTCATAATCTCTACTTTTCGTCTCTTCAAAACACGAAAGTCGAAAAGTAGAAGTTACGACAAAATGAGAAGGGGTGATTCATCTTCTTAACAATGAAGGGTTTTCTCTGGATCCGCTCACTGCTAAAAAAAAAACCACTGTGCAAGAAAATTATTGCGTTAAAAATGTAGGGTATGTTGGTCCAGAAATGACCTAGTTTGTTTTGAGTGGAAGTTAAGTCTCAATTCTCTCTCTCTCTCTCTCTCTCTCTCTCTCTCTCTCCATTTTATTGGGTATAAAGTAAGAAATATGTCAGTAAATGAGGTCAGTGTTTAAGAGTATTTTGTTAATGATCTGTTAACTTACCTGACCATTATAAGGCTGACCTTAAAAATATCTTTGTTTTGCCTGACGCGACCGACTAACTAAAACCACCCCCGACTTAAATTATTTTATTGCACTTTTCCGCGATCTTTTTATTTTATTTTGTGTGTCAACCTGAAATATATCACAAGAGTTATTTCCCTTTACTATGGCTATGGTTTGATTCATTATTGAAACTGGTTGATCAAGATGAAAGCGTCATGGGTGTCGCTTCTCAACAAAATGGTTGCAGACGAAAGCACGTCCATTCCCACGAAATGATTCTGCCTCTATGTCTGTGGGGCGTCGTTTTAAACATGATGACGATATTTTCAATATCCATTTTCGAGAAAAATAAAGGCACAACCCGCACGATCGTTAAAAACGTGTTGAGGGAGTTTCAAACGTGAGTTTGTCGCAATTTGTGTGCGAGTCGTGCATCAAGAAAAATCCCGATGTCATTGATTTGTTTGCCAATAAAAGAAGACGAATGTTTGCACCCGGAAAATTATCAAGCTGTCAAATTAGCTCTTAAAAAAAAAATCTGAAAAAAACCCCGACCTACCAACCCTTCTCCTCGATTGTGGGTCGGGTTTGGTGAAACAAAGATATTTTTAAGGTCAGCCTAACATGGGATAACTTACAATAGAATGATAAATAGTATGATATACAGATTATAGCCCTCGACTTCTTCACTCCTCCCAACTTTTAACAGCAAAATCACTAAAACAAAAGTCTGCCATTGAAAAAACGAACAGTCATCACGCACTTATCCCACACCGAACAAAGTTAAGGGCTTCGTCTGTACTTCCTTTTTTCCAGAACAGATCTAATAAACCATTTAAGATATGTTTATGAAACTTTGTTCCCATCATCCTATTATAGTAGTTGTGCCATTTTTTTTATACGCCCACATTGAAATGTGGTCGTATATTGTTGTTAACTATTATAGTGAATACTTCCAGCTCTTTATCTAATCTCCCATAATGTATGTTTAATAGTGTAAAACAAAGAATATTGGAGACAGGTGATTAGGGAAATATGATATAGATATAAATGGGGGGTAATTAAGGTGGATTAAGATTCATTAACATATAGCTGACTAAACTATATAAGAAACATTGTGTGGATTAGTACCACGTATTAAACATTTACTATTGGGCTGTAATTATCAATTGTAAGAATAATGCATTTTTATAAACGAATTTCACCCTACTATGAGTTCTTGATGTGGAAATTTACATGGAAATATTTATTTATGGCTAGGGATATGATATCATATCTTTCTTATCTAAATTAGATCCTGCTTATATATATATATATATATGTATATGTATTTGCGTGTAAATTTCCACGTCAAGAACTCGTAGTAGGGTGAAATTCGTTTATAAATATGCATTATTCTTACAATTGATAATTACGAGAAATCAGGTTGTTTTTTTTACATATATCAACAATAAGCAGGATGTAATTTAGATAAGAAAGATATGATATCATATCCCTAGCCATAAATGAATATTTCCGTGTAAATTTCCACATCAAGAACTCTGTGGTGACAGAGAATATAAGTAATATTGTTATAATACATTATTGAAGGTGTACTGTTTTGTTGACATTAACAATAAATTCGTGTTAACAAAATAGTCTATAAAGTCTAGTATTGATGGCGATATTAGCGACCTTTGATTTTGGCTTGCTGTCGTACTGTTGTCTTTTCGCCTCGGAAGTTGATGTAGTCTCTACTTTCAAGGTCACTTTTCGACTTTCGTGTTTTGAAGGGGCGAAAGAAATTAAGAAATTATGAATGGTAGTTATAGGCTTCCATAAAATTGTAAGACAAAATAAACATTTTACCATTGGTTCACGAATGCCTTTAAGTGCCATTTATAACAAGGGACTCGAACGAAGGGGCTAGATATATTCCACAAGTAAGTCAAACGGTTACGTACGGCATATTCCTATCTGGAGTGCATGCGCAATAAATACTAAATCAGTTTATGTACATTCATATTACATTATTATTTGTGTTGCGAACCATTTGTGTCAATTTCTGGGTCCTAAATATTACCGATTTAGCTCCTTTAAATAACAAATACATGTAGATTGTTTTGGGGTGACCTTTTCCCTGTATGTAAATAATCAGTAAATGTTCATATTTTTGCACCAAAATAGATAATTTTGGATCAAATTTTCAATTTCTGATAATTGATAAGTTCGTAAATAGTATTGTACGATGGATCAATAGGCCATTAATATTTCGATATCGACCCCTTTCTATAGAAATCAATATATAATTGGCAAGAGTTATACAATCGTAATGTGCTCAACAACCCTTGTTTTACTTATGAATATTAATCTCCACAAGAAAAAGCTCCAAAATCATTTAATTGGTTACCATCAAATTGGTCAATGTCAAAGTATATGAGTAAAATAATGTAAGATATTTTATACCCTGGCTTAGATATTGTAGATATTACATCAAATTAATAAGCTTATTATTACATTATGTAATAATATTTGAATCAATTTTTTTTTATTATATTAAATTGTTATTAAATTTGTTTATCTCTGTGTTTAATTTGATTAGTTTTTCTTATTCTCTTATTCAAATCTCATAGAATCTGATTCCAAACCCATCTAGCTTTAGTTTTACATTCTAAATATAGAGCAGTGTAATATGACACTTATACAATACAACATCTGAATAGATACTAATTGGGCTACAATTTATTGTCTTTGAGAGGCTGATGACAGGATTCTCTTCTTTGAGGTCACATTCCCAAACTTGAAGAAATCTGGTTGATTTCTAGTTGGTCTTAAGACTGTATGTGAATGTTCTAATGCCAAAAATTATCATCCGATCCGTGTGAAATTTATATGCATTATTTAAATTAGTGAAACGAAGAAACCTATCAAATCTCGGCAATTTCCATTAATGACCTCAGGAGTTATGGACCTTGTTTCATTTTGTTGAACCTTGTGAACACTCTAATGGCAAAAGTTAACAGTCGATCTGTATGAAATTTATATGCATCATTTAGATTAGTGAAACCAGGAAGCCTATTGAATTTAAGCAATTTACAATAATTACTTCTCGAGTTATGGCCCTTGTTTCACTTTGTTCAACATTGTTAATGCTGTGAAATTTATATGCATCATTTAAACTTGTGAAACGGAGGTCTATTGAATTTCAGCAATTTCCGTCAATTATTTCTTGAGTTATGGCCCTTGTTTTACTATGTGAATGACAAAGTTATCATCCGATTTGTATGAAATTTATATCAAATTTCAAAATAACTTCCAGAGTTAAGACCATTGTTTCAGTTTGTAGAACCTTGTGAACCCTCAAATGACAAAAATTATATTCTGATCTATATGAAATTGTATTTTAAATGCCCCCAGTTACCTACAAAAGAATAAATATGCAACAACCCTTGTCGACCGCTCGGACGAATTAGCTGCTGTGGGCGTATGTTTTGCTGTCTGGCAACCTATCTTTTTTCTACCCAAACAATTAGGTTTAGTCATTTTAAGAGTAATTATTTCAGATGAGTCCGTTCATGAATAGACTTGACAAATTATGAATATACTGACTACTATTTTCAGAACTTAACCGAATATAACACAGCCACCAATCGGCGAATAGCATCTGTGGCAGAAGTATCAAATAAAAATCCATTAAAAAGAAAGAAAAAGGGAATATCACATATTTCCTTTAATGAAGATGAAGAAGTTATTAATCCAGGTAAAATTCCAAGGTGGCACGAACCTAAGTTGAATCTTAAAAATTCATAATACATTATCCCGTTTTCCCAAAAGCAGATTAACTCTTTCAGTGCCAGGCATGTTTTGATGTCATAATGTCAAGGCCATCGAGCATGATTGTTGTCATTCCCAAGTATGTTGGAGGAAAACTAAAAGACAAGGACTGTTTATATTGTTTTACTCCAAATGAGTTATCTTAATATAACTTTTAAATTTGATTAAAATTTGTTACAGCTGTGTAAAATGAGTTCCAATCGTTGTCTTTGTATGTGGACATATATTGTCGTTGCCCCTGTCCGTCCGGACGGGCCGGACGTCCGTCTGTCGGTCCGACCGTCCACAATTGTTTGTGAGCACTCTACAGGTCACAATTCTTATCCAATTTTGACGAAACTTGAAATATAGATTTATCTCCAAAAGATCTCGGTTGCTTTCGATATTGGCATGTATTGGATCGAAACTTTATGGATTATGGCCCCTGATTGTACGAAAAATCACGTTTATAGCTTGTGGACACTCTAGAGGTCACAATTTTCATCTGATTTTGATGAAACTCAAAGATCTTGGTTCCTTTCGATATTTGCTCATATCGGATTGTAACTTCCTGAATTATGGCCCTTGATTGTATGAAAAATCTCATTTTAAGCTTGTAGTCCCTCTAGAGTTAACAATTACACCCTTATGATGGTTGAGTTTGAATTTTGTGAAAATCAGACCAAAATTGGACAAAATTGCCGCCCCTCGTACGCTAATAGTGTAAAAATATGGTATAATATCATGGTTGTGGACTCTCTAGAGGTCACAATTTTCACCCAATTTTGATGAAACTTGAAATGCCTGTTTATGACCCAAAGATCTTGGTTCCTTTCGATATTTGCGCATATCGGATCGTAACTTCCTGAGATGTGGCCCCTGATTGTACGAAAAATCGCGCTTTTAGCTTGTGGTCCCTCTAGAGGTCACAAATTATTATCTGATTTAAAAAACTGTTTGAACATATCACCGTTACACCGTAATGTTGGTCGAGTGAATTTTGTAAAAATCGGACGAAAACTGCCAGACAAAATGGCCGCCCCTCTTCGCAAATAGTGTAAACATCTGGTATATCAAAGTTGTGGACCCTCTAGAGGTCACAATTTTGATCCGATTTTGATAAAACTTGAAATGCATGTTTATAACCCAAAGATCTTGGTTGCTTTCGATGTTTGTGCATATCGGATCATAACTTCCTGAATTATGGCTCCTGATTGTATGAAAAATCGTGTTTTTAGCTTGTGGACATTCGAGAGGTCACAATTATTATCTGATTTACAAAACTGTTCGAATATATCACCGTTACACTGTATTGTTGGTTGAGTTAGAATTTCGTGAAAATTGGGCCAAAACTGTCGGACAAAATGGCCGCCCCTCGTACGCAAATAGTGTAAACATCTGGTATATCAAGGTTGTGGACCCTCTAGAGGTCACAATTTTGATCCTATTTTAATGAAACTTGAAATACATGTTTTTAACCCACAGATCTTGGTTCCTTTCGATATTTGCGCATATAGGAATGTAACTTCCTGAATTATGGCCCTTGATTTAGAGGTAACAATTTTTATCCGATTTAAAAAAACGTGTGAATATATCACCGCTACATACTAAAATCTTGGTTCCTTTTGATAATCCGAATGTAACTTCCTGGATTATGGCCCCTGATTGTTCGAAAAGTCGCATTTTTAGCTTGTGGATTCTCTAGAGGTCACAATTTTTATTCCGATTTTAAAAACCGTTTAGATATATCACCATTCCACCATAATGAAGGTTGAATTTGAATTTGGGGAAAATTGAAATGAAACTGCCCAACAAAATGGCCGCTCTTTGTACGCAAATTGTGTAAAAGTATGTAATACGAAGGTTGTGGACCCTCTAGCAGCGGTGCACAATTCCCATCGCCCGGGACAGGTTAATTTTTTTGTTGGACAGCTGAAATTTCACATTCCGTCCGCCCGCAGACAGGCCGTTTTTCTCGGACAGAAATTCTTTGAAATTGAATAATACTTTGTGATCGAACAATACCTTGTGATTATTTAAAGCATTTTAGTTCCAGTCCGTGCAATAATAATAGCCGAATAGACTAACTTCAGTCAGAATAACTTACTACTAAGCACACGATAGTTCTACCGGTAATAGCTTCCGGTACTAAAAATAACTTTTCTAAAATTAATGAGTATTGTCGAATGACAACATTCCTTACCGAAGATACCACATTTTTTTTTCTCTATGTATTTTGTGAAAATATGTCTTCCTTTTATTGTCGTTCACAGCTTTTTGTTGTTTAATGATAAATAAACAGCAATATATACTGTTATTAACTCCCAAGTGTTCATTTCACGAAGATTGCAAATGCCGTAATAATATAGCGTTTTTACATCACGTGTCTTCTCGCTCACTTTTCCACACGACCGGTGGTACTGTTAGAATTATCCATGTTTCACGAATTATGTATACCCACACTTTGATTTTCCAAAGGAATCATTGATTTTCTGATTAAAATATACTTTATGTAGGCAGAAATGTGAAAAATGTTAACTATATTTTGAGAGGTAGGGCCTATCGGTAGACTGAATGATATTGTGTCATAGTGGTCCGTAAATCGCATGATCCGAAAAAACGCTATTTATTTGACTTATAATTAGTTAATGGGCATTTTTTGAGGCAGCACTCATATTGTATAGTTTAATTTAGTATTCTTGTATTGTAATATTTGATTTTCAATAAGGCATACGCTTGAATGAGAAAAAACGAGTTTGCAAGGGTAAATTGAACCCGTAGCTATAAAAAAAAAGACCGATAAATCAACACAAACTTTTTCTGATATTTTTTTCCTTTTTATCCCACCATTTATGGTTGTTGTTGTCTATTACAATTAGATGATAATAAGGATAGGTTAAGACAGTATTGGAACATTTGGATGCTTAAATATTTGTTACTTTGTTACTATTTTTATGTTTAGTCATTAAATTAAAAACAAAACAACCTTATTTTTAGATTCAGGGCAGGTGTATTTTTCTGTAGGGCTAGCAAATTTTGTCATGACACCTGCCCATGGGCTAGTGGTTCAAAAGTGAAATTGTGCACCCCTGCCTCTAGAGGTCACAATTTTTATCCGATTTTTATGAAACTTGAAATGTATGTTCATAACCCAAAGATCTTGGTTCCTTTCGATATTCATGCATATCAGACCATATCTTCCTGGATTATGGCCCCTGATTGTACAAAAAATCACATTTTTTTAGCTCGTTCTCTGTCCATCTCTTGCAAAATGTGGGCGTATCTTGCATGGCAACCGCTTGTTTTGTTTTTCACATTGCATCATTATTTGACATCTAAAACTTCAACAGATGATGAGCTATTTCTTAAAAAGCAACATGCATGTTTTAATAACAAAAAAGGAGGATGTACATCTAAACATACAACTCACAATTAATAGAGGTGGGGTACACAAGGTTGGAAAAAATTTACAGCAGAACTTACTATGCCACTGCCTTCCAACTGTTTTTTTATTTTAAACAATGTTTTTTATTTCTTTTTGCAGAAGATATAGACCCATCTGTTGGGAGATTTCGAAACCTGGTTCAAACAACTGTTATTCCATCCAAAGTAAGTTTCCCAACGTATAAGTGCTCCAGTTCATTTTTTAGATATATGTTTCCAATTACAAATTTCAGAGATATTTCCCCATTGATGTTGAGGAAGTGATACATAAATGATAGAATTACTGTTGGTCTATTTTAAAACTCAGTTGTATTGTTCATTCTAGTATAAGGAAGAACCCTTTCTGAATATCAAACACATTTTGAGGAGTTGTTATTCCACTCATATTTCAAGTTTTAAAACTTCTAAAGAGGATGACTTATTGATGTAATTTTTAAAATGTGTTCATATATTGCCGTCATCCCTGTCCATCTGTTGTCCACAATTTCTTTTGAACACTCTACACTATGTTTGATCATCTGATCTGTAGAGAGTCCATTAGATTGTGCAGGGATGACGGGCACATGTGACGAAACTTTAAGTTGGGAACATAAAAATGTCAGAAAGAGTTTGTGATTGTATAATTTGAATTTATAATCTTGTTTCAATGAATATTGGTATTCATCTGTATATCAACGAATTCTGCAATATTAATACATTTCTTTAATACTTTGCCTTACATGCAGTTACAAAAAAAAAATTGTGAAATGAACTGTATTTTTCATTAAATAAACACCTTGTTAACAGTTGTGTGACAAAACTTGATAAGCAAGATTCAACCTTTTAAAATGACTAGGTAGCTCTCTGGATAGTTTTGAAAATATATTAAATACATGTTATGTAAGAATATTGTAAGAATATTGTCTTCAGGTTTGCTATAGCTGTAAAGTAAAAGTCAGAGACTGTTTTCTTCTACCCTGTTGATGTCTGGTGGGAGCAGTATAGTAGTCTCGGAAAAATGACATCGACTCTTGTAGTGTTTTTATAACTTAAAAAGTGAATTAGTATTATTTTATTAATTGATTGAATTAATTACCACTGTGGCCTAGGGTTATGGGCTATGGCCAACTGGAAGGTCAGGCTATAAAGGATTGAATGTCTTCATCTTTTCAAAATGTAAAGGTCAATAATAAAAAAAAGAGAATGTGGATAAATCGTATCTTGATACTTTTAAAGACAGATTGTAAAATGAAGACATTTATCCACATACTTTTTCGCTACCATGAAAGTTTTTATACGCCCACATGTGGACGTATATTGTTGTTGCCCCTGTCCGTCCGTCCACAATTTTTAGCCGATTTCAATGAAACTTGAAATATAGGTTTATCGCCCTAAGATCTCGGTTCCTTTCGACATTGGCATGTATCGGACCGTAACTTCATGGATTATGGCCCCTGATTGTACGAAAAATCACGTTTTTAGCTTGTGGACCCTATGGAGGTCACAATTTTATTCTGATTTTGTTGAAATTTTAAATGTAAGTTTATAACCAAAAGATCTTGGTTCCTTTCGATATTCGCGCATATCGGACCATGACTTCCTGAATTTTGGCCCCTGATTGTACGAAAAATCATGTTTTTTTAGCTTGTGGACCCTATGGAGGTCACAATTTTATTCTGATTTAAAAAACTGTTTGAATATATCACCGGTACACCTTAATGACGGTTGACTCCAAATTTCGTGAAAATCGGACCAAAACTGTCGGACAAAATGGCCGCCCCTCGAATGCAAACAGTGTAAAAATATGGTATATCATGGTTGTGGACCCTCTACAGATCACAATTTTGATCCGATTTTGATGAAACTTGAAATACATGTTTATAACCCAAAGACCTTGGTTCCTTTCAATATTTGCACATATCGGATCGTAACTTACTGAATTATGGCCCTTGACTGTACGAAAAACCGCATTTTTAGCTTGTGATCCCTTTAAAAAAAACGTTCGAATATGTCACTGTTACACTGTATTGTTGGTCGAGTTCCAATTTCCAGACAAAATGTCCGCCCGTCTACGCAAATAGTGTAAACATCTGGTATATCAAGGTCGTGGAACCTCTAGAGCTCACAATTTTGATCCAATTTTGATGAAACTGGAAATGGTTGTTTATAACCCAAAGATCTTGGTTGCTGTCGATATTTGAGAAATATCGGATCATAACTTCCTGAATTATGGCCCCTGATTGTACAAAAAAGTGCATTTTGTTTAGCTTGTTCTCTATCCATCTCTTGAAAAATGTGGGCGCATCCTGCCTGGCAGCCGCTGGTTTCAGGAAAGACACACCAATGAAAGGGTTGAGGATTATGATTAAATACATATAAAAATATTAAATGAAATCAAATCTATTGTCTTGTTTTTCAGCGCACTAAAATTGATCATGGCTTAGTTCAACCAAGTATGACAGACAGTATAACCAAACGTTTACAAGACTTTTCTTATGGAGCAGTCGGACTCTATGGTGATTTGCCCTCAGTGGGAAGTGTAAATGCTGGCTCAACATTAACCAGTACTTTCAGTATGGCCTCAAAATTAGGGCTATCCATGCCAAATTTGGCTCCAGATTTAGATCCAGAAATACCAGAACAAAAACCGCCAGAATTAAGTGTTGTGTTCACGAAAGAAGACGTTTCAAAAGAACCACGCAAAAAGAAGTATGCCAAAGAGGCGTGGCCTGGTAAAAAACCGGTTCATAATTTACTTGTGTGAAGAATGTTAAAAGTGTAGTAACTGGTGAAATATCTGGACAGAGGCACCACAATAAAAAGAAGTGAAGACATCAAATTTTTGTACGACAATATTCTTGTATATTTTTTGATGTTAATGTTATTTTATATACTTTGGTAATTAAAATGACTAGACTTCTTTGATTTGGGTAAAATTGTTAGTTTAAATACATTTCCTGTATTGATAGCCAAGTTTACAACTGTTTACTTTCCCGAGCAGTGTTGACTAATTAATTTGTCTGTTAATTATGCAACACCTATTGGGAAAGTACACAGTTGTAAAGCCAACACTCATTATCTAATCTAGACAGACCATTTTAAACTATGCGATAATAGGAACCCAATAGTTGTAGTTTCAAAATGAAGATTTAAGGATGCATTATGTAAGATTTACATAAAGAGCTGTCCGCTCTTGCTATAATAGTTCATAAATAGATAATGCAAAATGAATATATTGAAATTTTCATTTAAATTACTTGATTTTAAGCTAAGTTAACACTGTTTGAAGTTTTGATAAGATGTGGCATAGATTGTTTATTATGGTAACAACAATACTTGTTATTCAAGACTTTTAAATTAAATCCTTAAATGGCTAACAGTGTTTTAATCCGTTTAAATCTCCACCCCCTGATGCTCTAGAGAGTTGATTATAGGCGTGTTATGTGAATAAATGTCTAAATAATAGTTAATTTAACTTTTGAAGCCAAAATGAAGACCTTTAATAGGAAGATTTAGCTTTTATGTAATGCATCTTTAATCATATTTGTCCTGTCACTAATCAAAATAACAGATCAGATCCGCATCACTAAACTCTTTATTTTGACCGAAATCAAAGAGGTTTAGCTCCTTGTAAATGTATTAGCCAAGTCATTAAACCCCATTTCATTTCCTTATAAATGTTCCCTCGACCGTCCGTTATTTGATCCTCAAAACTCAAATTTTATCTGAAAGTATGACCAACATTTGTAATGATAAACAAAGAATAAAATTATAGACTCTAATTGCCTAAGCCCTTATAAGTAACCAATTTAATTGTTACTGAGCATCACCTATTCAGACTGGCGTTATCTTAGCACAGGAATATTCACTCGTTGCCAGGTAACACCATGACCAGCATTCATCCATTCATTGTCTTGCAGTAGAGGGACAATAAAAGCTTTCCTTGCAGTACATGTATCTCAGCAAGTATATTTTATAATTGTACATAAACAGCAGTAAAACATTAAATAGCAGTACATTAAGTGCAAATGTTTCAACCAATCACAAGAAAATACAATTCTTCCTTGATGGTGTTAAACGATCACAAACATATAGACTTTACAGTTTCATTGGTGAAGACTTATTAACACAATAACTCTGCTTCTAATTGAAGTAGAATGATCAGACTATAGATGTTCTTAAGTTGAATGTCTTGACATTAGCATTTTCCAGTAAGGCGAAGCAGTTTAAGCAATTTGATTGGTTGAGACTTTGGATCACGATAACGTCAAGTTTAATTGGGTATGAAGGATGAAACTTGGTGTATAAGTTTCACACATCACAACCTTGACCAAGTTCAATCATGAGCATTTTCTACAGAGACCAGTAGAGTTAAGGATGCTTTAAAAAAAAAGATAAATATGCAAGTAATTAGTCTCATCAATTTATTTTGGTTGAGACAGGGACATCAGCCTAACTGTTGTCTTGTTTCATAATACAGTGTGACCCCCCAAAAAACAGGACTTATAAAATTTTTATTAAACCCTACAAAGGTCCAGCAAATTTGAAGGCAAACTTGCATACATGGTGCAAAATTGTCAATTACTCGAACACATTTCTCTTTGGGAATTTTCCTGATTATCTCAAAGATAATGTGTTCCAGAACAACCCTTAAATGATTGGTGAATTGAAAGCAGCAATCACAGCAAAAATCAAGGAAATCTCCAAAGAAGAGGAATGCGTTCAAGTAATTGACAATTTTGCGCAACTTATGCAAGTTTGCCTCCAATGCCGCGGAGGCCATTTAGAATATATTTTAGAAAGAATGTGACTTTTATGCCAAGCCACCAGGATAACTGAAACTTTGGGGAATGATATATACAGACTGATGTTTAAGTCCAGCAAATTTCAGCAAATTTGCTGGATCATTGTAGGATTTGATAAAATTTTTATGGGTTCTGTTTTTTTTTTTTTGGGGGGGGGGGGGAGGGGCACCCTGTATTTATCTACAGATGAATTTATGTGGAGTGATTAAGATAAGTTCATTGTAAATTGCAAAGTTTAATTTGTTATTGTATTATTCATTTCATATTGTCAGAATATCACATTATTTTAATCTTTATATTTATCATCTGTATGTACACACAATAAAATATCACTATGACTTATTGCTCTTTGAATTATAAAGATTTGCTTGAACTTGAATGGTCTGTCATTGAGTCCAGTGGCATGGTTTTGATCCCTAGCTTATACATGAATGACATGTGGGTTTTCTGTGGATCGTCCAGTTTCCTCTCACTACTAAAGGCATTTATGTGCAAACGAATTATTGATATAAAATGTATTACATGTGTTAGTTCAAAAATGTCCTGGTTTGTGTCTAATGAACAATCTCTCTCTCTCTCTCTCAAGTTACAGTCAGTTGAAATTGATATCTGAATTACAACAAAAATACTGAGTAGTATTTATAGGAGAAGTCTCAGATTATTCTTCGGAATTTAAACGCCTAGTCCAGTGTAGCTATCATACCTTTTTGAAGAAACCAAACTTTCACTTTTCTTGTGGGGTTGCAACTGCTCATGGAATAAGGTCAAGGTCGTGACCTTTAATCTCACCTTTCTTTGTTAAATTGTACAAAATATGTCTTTTTGCCCAAACCATAGAATTTTTTTATCACTACGTCATATTTTTCTGGTTTTCTGGACAGGGTATCGCGGTATTTCGTCCCATCCGAACGACTGGACACTGTCCATCCCAGGCTCTCCGTCCTGCCCCATTGACAAGATGAAACCACGGAAATCCTCAGGAACTTTCCGTCCCTCGGCTAACACCAGAGACCTTGTTAGAGAAAATTAAAGAGAAACAGACATGTTTAAGGTGAGTTATTTGCCACTGAATTTAATTATTGTAGCCAATGGTTACTATATGCACTTTACAGCGAGTTAACATCAATCTGATTAAAAGTCGTAAATATAGAACTTCCGTAAAAATGACTTTGCCAATTATCGAAAAAACTCTTAATCCCCTCGGACGGCAGTGACGTCACAGCGACCTAATGCATATTCGGAATGTTAATTCCTTAATTACCTCAAGTTCAAGTTCTTTATTCCTTTAAGTCAAAGACTCATCAGGTATAACATACAGTACAAACAAATAAATAAATACATTATGTACAGCCGCGGTGTGTGTATTCATTAACGCCTGACTGATTCCTTAATCCCCTAGTTAAATAAAACAACCGACTACGGAATAATTTGTTTTGTAATTTAAGATCCAATTTAGAATTTGTTTTATATTGTCCCACCCTCTCTTCTCACGACAGCGATTTTAAAACTGTGTTTTAAAGTGACTTTTTGATAAGAGTTCCCCTACCATCGTGTGCAGTCCAAACGAATCCAGATACATTTCCGTCAGAAGAGTATTGTTATTCAAATTTCTCCGAGTAAAACAGTACAGAGTAAAAAGATGTGGTCATGCAAAATGTATCATAAAAGTCAAACATGATTGAAATACGATTTGTAAATGACGATCCGTAACCGTATCTCGTTTCCCTGTAGCCATCGTACGGCGCCTTTCTTTCTGAATGTGGATTTGACTTCATTACTCTCAAATAGACCGTAAAAATGAAATATGAAAAAATAACTCAATATACGTTAGAATTAACAGTACAAAAAAATTTTGTTGTTAACCATCTAAATCGAATAACAGATTGAGAAGGGACATCTAACTATCTTTGTGTATTAATAATAAAGTGGCAAGTGTAGTGTCGTTAATATCTGTCATTAATCAATCCGACTTAAGTTGAACAGACATGGGGTCATAAATTAATTTACACCACCTCGATGTGGGATTAAGAATGTTGATTAGGTAATTATCTTTTTTACGCCGGACAGATCAAAGACATTTAGGTGGAATGTGTGCGTAATACCCCACGAACGAACGGAAAAATTTCCGGGGAATTTTTCAACAAACGTAGTCTAGGGTGGGACAAGGCGCCCCCCTTAAGCGGAAAATGATATAGCGAAACCCCTAACAATAGCACAAACGTGAAAATTAACATAGTTAACAAGGAAGCCATATTGCACATCATTTTACGGATCCCATACATACAGACTTGTAAACTATTCTAAATTTTACATTCAAAATATTTTTTGGAAGTGGGCCTTTTGCCCCGGCCCTGGGGCAGCAAGCCCATAGATGGGCGTTTTACCCCTTTCCATTTGAACTTTTATAATCTTAATTAAATAAATCAATAAAAAGAAAAAAACAGTGTTTGGGGCATATAAAGTAAAGTGATCCGGACGTGCAATCTTGATGTGGCCACTTTTTACAAACACTACATTGTAACCAGGTTTCTCGGGATTTACTATTACTAAATGGTTCTGCACAAATTAAACATGGCCACTCATCGTCTTCGTCTTCATCACTATTATCGTCTACTTTGGTCTTCTTAGATTTACTTCCTTTAACTTTAATTGGCCTTCTAACCGGTTCCTTACCCTTTCCGACCGCTTTAGACGAACTTTTAAATTTCCCAATTTATCCATTAAACTCTTTTTGTATGGCGAACAAGTTAAGAGGGCAGCAGATTCTGATTTACGTGTTCTTTTTCTTTTCTCGGCTATTTTCGGAGGAGGTGAAATCGACCGAATTAAATCAAATGTCAAAATTCCATGAGGTTTTAAGTTGAAGTAGTGCCTGAATGAGCTGTTGGTGCGATCAGTTTATCTTCATTTATTTGTGAAGTGGACGGAACATCATGGGAAGACGAACTGGCTTTGATGGTTTCAATGATGTTTGATACAATAACAGTTGCATTGTTTGTATCGGTGTCTTGGTTTGGGACTTCGGGTTCATCTGTTACTAAGGATGCTGAGAAATCATCATCAGAAAAAATACTGGCGTCAAACGGCCATAATCCACATGTGGCAAAACCATGAACGACCTTTTCAGCAGTTGCAGATCACAGGAAGGCCTTACCAAATATACCAGCCATTTCAGCAAAGGAAATTCTTTTTCCTGGATTAGAAATCATCCAAAAGTCAGCTTCCCTGTTGTGAGACACTTTTAGAGATTTAAAAAAGGTTCTGTCTAGTGGTTGCATTTTATGTGTGCTGTGTGGTGGTAAGGTCAGTAAATGAATTCCATTTTCACGCGCAAAGTCAACTGCAGCCAGAGTCTTGTGACTGTGATGACCGTCTAATATGATAATAGCAGGACTATCCTTTGTGGTTTTGGTAAAAGTTGTAAAATGTTCCATCCATTTTAAAAACAATTCACCGTCAGTCCAACCAGATGGGCTTGCATATCCGCGATCTATCTTGCATCCGACCATTTCCACGTGAGGGCAAGAGAGGACTGCCCAGTGCACACCAACAAACCAGTCAACACCTTATTCGCTCAACAAACGGTCGCCTCCTTGATAGTCGGTCACGCACCGTTCACTTATCCATACGGTCGGTGGTAGCGAGTAAATGGCCGGATGCAACGCGAATCCCGAATAACGAGCCAGCACTCTAACAAACCAGTCAGCACCCTACGGTCGTCTCCGTGCTAATCGGTCACACAACGAGGAAATAGTCTGATACAAGATAGATCGTTATGTTTAAACATGCATTATGCAAGAGCAAAATCTGCTTATTACAAGTCTTTCTTTAGGCCTGAAATGTTATCTAAATGATCAATTAGACATTAATTAACTTATCCAGACTATAATAAACTCTCGATGTCAAGGCTAGCCTTCGATGTTGGCTGGATTAGATTCCTATATGCCGCTAACGGCCTTTGACAATTAAATAAAAAAAATCGGATAATCGAGTCTATGCTGTTTATATTAATGATTTTAGTAATGATGACCTAGACTATGCAAAAATTTCACCAGCTTCTTTCTCGGCTCATCGTGGATCAATTTGACTGAAATTTTCAGCAAATTACCTTTACACTATCTAGTTTTTGACTATTATAGCGAGAACTGCAAACTCTTTATCTTATCTCCCATAATGTATCTTTAAGTGGCGAATCCCGTATAACGTGCTTCGTTAATATTCGTTATAATTGGCGAATCCCGAATAACGTGCCAACTTCGCGTTGCCGTAAAGCAACTGGTTTAAGAATAATAAACGGAAGATATTTGTCTGACAAGAACGGTTCTTATACATTTAATAGTGTTAAAGGGTCAAGTTTAATCGATTATTCATTGATGCGCTATGATCAATTTAATTTGATACAAAGTTTTGAATCTGGTCAGTTTAATGAGTTTTCAGACCACTCACCACTTTGTATCAAGCTGAACTTCAATCTGAATAGCTCGGAAGTTAGTATTATTAATCGTCATAGTATTATACTCAAAACTAAAGTTATTCAGAAATGGGATCATCGTAGGTGTAGTGAACAAATAAATCAGTTGAGTAATATTATCAGCCTGTTTTAATTGATAGTTGTACCCTAAATGACCGGTCGAAAACTTCAATAGATAACAGTGTTGACGAATTCTCCCGGACCCTTATGGAAATAATATCACCCTTCTGTATAAATAAAATAGAAGGTTCATCATATTTAAATAAAGCTATGTTCAATGAAATTTGTACTTCCCAATATAAACTTTACAAAAATGCCTTGAGTAATTATAATAAAAATAAATCTCTTGAAAATAGATTAATTTTATCTTACACAAAATGTTCATATAAAAAATTACAAATTAAACTTAAACGCATCTATATGGCACCAGAAGGCAACCGTATTAATTTTCTACGGAAAAACAACGCAACCATATTTTATAAACTTTTCAAGAAGAGGAAGTTTCATCGCTCTCACTTCATAAAAACCAAAGTTATCGTGCACCAAAGCATCAACCAATCAGATTGCTTATCTCAGCTTACTGTAAGCAGACAGTGTTCATCATCGAACTCCATCAAGGCATTCACCTAATGAACGCCTACACCAAGGTTGAACATTCTACCTCAATTAGAAGGAGAGTTTTTGTGTCCAATGTCTCGTCCAATCAAATTGCTGTTCGCTCTGCTTACTCTCAGCAGAAAATGTTTATTATCGAACATAGTCAAGGTATTGATGTAATAAAGCTATACACCACGTGTCCTCACTCTCACTTAATTAGAACTAAAAGTTATGGTGTCCCAAAGCATCAACTAATCAAATTGCTTATCTCTGCTTACCCTAAGCAGAAAATTCTCATCTTCGAACTCCATCAAGGCACTCACCTAATAGACACCTACTCGCCTTGTGTGAAATTCTCACTCAATTAGATTGAGAGTTATTGTGTTCCAAAGTCTCGACCAATCAAATTGCTTATCACTCTGCTTACCCTGAGCAGACAGATGGACGAACCCATTTTAATAGTCCCCTGCTATCTTCGAAAGGCTGGGGACAATAAATTAAGTGGGTCTAACTCTTCGATATGGTATCAATATTTTTCAGTTCATCACAGTAAATCTCTATATATACATATATATGTAATAAAAATGTCTATAATCTCAATATGTACTATATATTTTAACAACCAGTTCTCAAAAACAAATAAAATAATCCCAAAATATGAAGAAATCATGATGTTTTGCCTACCTTCAGATATAAAGCATAGTTGTGAGAAAATAAAGTTTACTGTAAAAAATCGAGTTCATAATAAAACAACAATATGAATCAACAAAACTTAATAGTTTCCCAATTTCGTGAAGTTCTATAACCATTAGATGAAGCCATTGAAGCCAAAACCCTTGTTCTGAGCGTTGTCCAAAGTTGACAATGCCAGAAAGTTTGACAGTCTTGTCGCGCTTTCAACGATTCTTGTCAAAGGCCAGGCAAATTTCTCATACAAATTCTTTTTTATATCAAATGTATCATAACTTTATCAAGAGTTGTTACTACATGTATATATAATAGAAAACATTAGTATGATATTTATCATTTCTAAATGATATAAACAAATCAAAAGAAAATCATACTGAAACTATATACTGTTTTATGCAATATAAGCGATATCATCTGACGGATACATACTGTGTGATGAAACAAAATATCCTATAAATCGGAATAGTGATATCCAAGTTAAAGCTGTTTAGAAGCATTTGCATTTTTCAGACAATATCTAAATCATTCACTGATAAATCCACGCTAAAATGTATTCAAATACTGTTTAAATCAACAATTAAAGAGGACATAAATGACCAGAACAAGATTGTATATATGTGCCTACATCCTGTGTTTATTTTATACACTTACAGCAATTTAATTCAAATCCATTCATAATTATTCGAGACATCTTCACTCAAAGTCAGAAATATAGATCTCGCCTAAAACGACTTTGGCAATTATCCAAAACATTCTTAATTCCCACAAATGCCAATGACGTCACAGTGACTGAATGCATATTAGCCATGTTTATTCCTTAATTACCATTGACACAGCTCGGATGTGTACTCATAAACGCCTCACTGATTCTTTACATGAATTATTTGGAAACTACAATATTATGAAAGATGAATCTCTAATAGGAATATCTGTCCAAATCCATTCTGTATTTACAAAGATCTGTTTGAACATTTTACCTCAATAAGACGAAGAGTTATTGTGTTCCAAAGATAGGTTGCCAGGCAACGAAACATATGCCCACAGCAGCTAAATCGTCCCAGCGGTCGACAAGGGTTGTCGCATATTCATTCCTTTGTAGGTAATTGAGGGTCTTTACAAGATCAGATTATAATTTTTGCCGTTTGAGGGTTCACAAGGTTCTATAAACTGAAACAAGGGTCTCAACTCTGGAAGTAATCTATAGAAATTGTTGAAATTTGACAGGCTTTTTCGTTTTACTAAATTAAATAATGCATATAAATTTCATACTGATCAGATGATCACTTCTGTCATTCAAACGTTCACAAGGTTCACAACCGCCATAACTCTAGAAATTATTGACTGAAATTCAATAGACCTCTGTTTCACAAATTTGAATGATGCATATAAATTTCATACATATCGGATGATAACTTTCATCAATCGAGCATTAACAAGGTTGAACAAAGTGAAACAAGGACCATAACTCTAGAAGTAATAAACGGAAATTGCTGAAATTCAATAGGATTTTTCTCTTTACTAATTTAAATGACGCATGCAAATTTCATACAGATCGGAAGATAACTTTTGATGTTAGTGCGTGCACAAGGTTCAATAAAGTGAAACAAGGGCCATAACTCTAGACGTAATAAACAGAAATTGCTGAAATTCAATAGGCTGCTTCTTCGTTTCACTGATTTAAATAATGCATATATATTTCAGAGAGATCGGATGATAACTTTTGGCATTGGAAACAAGGGCCATAACTCTAGACGTAATGAACAGAAATTATTGAAATTAAATAGGCTTCTTCGTTTCACTAATTTAAATCATGCATATAAATTTCACAAAGACTGGGTGATAACTTTTGGTGTTCACAAGATTCAATAAAGAGAAACAAGGGCCATAACTCTAGACGTAATAAACGGAAATTGCTGATATTCAATAGGCTTCTTCGTTTCACTTATTTAAATAATGCATATAAATTTCAGAAAGATAGGATGATAACTTTTAGTATTAGAGCGTTCACTAGGTTAAACAAAGTGAAACAAGGGCCATAACTCTAGAAGTAATAAACGGAAATTGCTGAAATTCAATAGGCTTCTTCATTTCCCTAATTTAAATATTGCATATAAATTTCACAAAGATCGGATGTTCACTTTTGGCATTAGAGCATTCACAAGGTTCAACAAAGTGAAACAAGGGCCATAACTCTAGACATAATAAACGAAAATTATTGAAATTAAATAGGCTTCTTCATCTCACTAATGCAAACAACATATATCAATTTTAAAACAACTGGATGATAACTTTTGGCGTTAGAGCGTTCACAAGAAATTGTGGACGACAGACGGACGGACGGGGGAGACGGCAATATACGTCCACATTTCTATGTGGGCATATAAAAAGTGTGATGGACAGACCCCTTGCTTTCTTCTAAAAGCGGGTGGACAACAAGAATGTTAGGCTTTCCCTGTGGCAAGTTTTAGGAAAACGGCCCAACATGCCCTTTACCACAACTTTGTAAAATATAATGTAGTAATAATGAGTAACTGACTCGCGAAATAGAAAAATAGAGACAGATATATATATATATATATATATATATATATATATATATATTGTGTTTAACATTCACTTAACACAAACTAGGTCATTTTGGGACTAACATATGATATGGTATAATCTTATTTCAATAATTTGTTTGCATTCTGGGGTCTTTAGCAGTGGGAGGAAACCAGAGGACCGAAAGAAAAAGTTTATGCATGTGAACTTATTCATTGTAATCAACAAGTGTGGTCTGGAAACCACGCCACCTACCAGTTGCCCCCACCCTCCCCCACGATATTCCCGCTACACAGAAAATAATTCTTTCATATTGCAAAGATGATAACTCTTTGTGTTGCACTTGCCCTCACCTGAAAATTCTATGAGAAATGCAATCAATATTGTGATCATTGTTAATTTTACAACTGTACAGTGGCAGAATATCAATGATAAATCATACCCAACATAAAGTTTTGGTTCATTGATTATATAATACATTTCTAAAACACATATTATAAACAGATCCATGTGATATTATACAACATTATAGACCATATATAAACTATCTAGGACATTTAACCCTATTTCATTTCATTCATATAAACTATCAAATATCAACTATTTCAGATCTAAAATCATTTTCGATGGATTTTCTATAAGTTCTTTCCACTTGTTTGAGAATCTGGCCATTGTAGCACCATCTATAACTCTATGATCAGCTGACCAACTGACATTCATGATATGGGCTTTTATCAGGTTACCATGGTAATCATAACGTGGTAAAACCTGAAGAACAAAATATCATCTTAATTAATCATTATTTAATTATAAGACACAGATCCTGAAGGCTAAAGCTTGGATCACTTGGTTCTCATATAAATTCCTCCAGATTTTTTTTTTTCTTTATCAAATTCGGAGCAATAACTCTTCTACGAAAGGACTTGTAAGGCAACTAATATTCCCGCCAGCAGCAGTCACCAGTGTTAGCTCCATAATTACAGCCTACAGGGCAAGTTTAAACAGGCCAGCAGTGAGGTTTAATCCCACAATGAGAGAGAGAGAGAGAGACGAGAGTATCATCGTATCATTTGCTTGATAAAGACGAGAGTATCATCCATCGTGGAAACGTTGCATGTTAATAAACCAGTAATTGTTATTCCATAAATAGTGTTAGTGTGCATCTACATCAAGTTTAAACATCAAGTTTAAACATTCTACCTCAATTAAAAGCAGAGATGTTATGTTCTAAAGTCTTGACCAATCAAATTGCTTATCGCTCATTAGCCTAAGCAGAAAAATCTCACCATCGAACTTAGTCAAGGTAATGATATAATGAATCTTTATTTGGAGTTTCATTGCTCTCACCTTATTATAACCAAATTTATCGTGCCCCAAAGCATCAATCAATCAGATTGCTTATCTCACCTTACCGTAAGCAGACAATGTTCATCATTGAACTCGATCAAGGCATTCACCTAATGAATGCCAACACCAAGTTTGAACATTCTAGCTCAATAAGAAGGGAGGGTTATTGTGTTCAAAAGTCTCGACCAATCAAATTGCTTATCGCTCTGCTTACCCTCAGCAGAAAATGTTCATTATCAAACTTAGTCAATGTATTGATGTAATAAAGCTATACACCAAGTGTCCTCACTCTCACTAAATTAGAACTAAAGTTATCGTGTCCCAAAGCATCAACCAATAAAATTGCTTCTCTCTGCTTACCCTAAGCAGAAATTCTCATCTTCGAACTCCATCAAGGCATTCACCTAATAGACACCTACACCAAGTTTGAACATTCTAGCTCAATTAGAAAGAGAGTTATTGTGTCCCAAAAGGAGTGACTGACGGAAGGACGGACGGGCGGACAGACCGACAGACAGATGAACAAAGGCAGGGGACAACAAATAAGTTTATGCAAACTACCTGAATTTTTCCAAGTGCACCAATAGCTACTTGTGGTGGATGTATGATAGGTCTAGCATATGTTCCTCCAATCTATTAATAATAATCATATTACAAACACATATGGGTGAAAACTATGAAAAACGGTGACTTTTAATTCTAATATGGAAACATTATATTTAAGTTAAAGTAGCTAAGTACTCAATATCATCCAAAGTCTTCAACATTGAAAACACAAATTATTTGTCAATTTAAATCAACATTGATGTTGTGATCTTACCGGGAAAAGATGGGCTTCAGATATCCAATATTTAAGACAAATGAAATGAAATGAAATGGGGTTTAACGTCCTACTGTTCTGCTCCTATACTGGGCTAATGAAGACGGGCATACGCAATACAGTGAGCTATGAGGGAAATTTTGCCCGGGCAGCGGCACTTTCGTCTACTCTTATATCGAATTCCAACTGTCAAGGGATCTTTTACGTGCATTCCAATGTATACATGGGACTTTGGTTTTTCGTCTCATCCGAAGGACTAGACAGCTGTCCTTGTCAGGCCCTCCGTCCTGCATCACTGACAAGTGGGAACCATGCCGGAAAATCTGGATGAACTTTCTCGGCCAATGCAGGGATCGAACACCCGACCTCCAGGCTAGAATATTTAAGACAAATTAAACATTTTACCATTGGTACACGAATCATGTACCATAGTGCATTTCAGCGCCATTTGTAAGAAGGGACTCGAAGAATGAGGCTAGCCATATTCCATTAGGCATATGCACAGTAAATACTATCGGTGAAGACTGGAATAACCAATAACCAGACGCTAGAGACTGCCATTCGATTGAGACTTTTGGCATATTTCGCCGAACATAACTGATTTGAAATTAGAGTAAAAGCGGAAACGATTGAATGTAAATCAGTTTATATACATTCATATTACATTATTATATGCGTTGCGACTAATTTGTGTCAATTTCTAGGTCCCAAATATTAGCTCCTTTAAACTGAAATTTTACTCAAAACCCAAATCGAATAAAACCCCAGATCCAGGGACTTTATTCACTAAAATATTATTAAAAAATACTTGTAAAGAATACTTGCTCAATATTAAATATACTTATTGAGCATTAACAATACCCACTACACAGATTAATTAAAGCACTTACTAAATTGTATTTAATCAATTCAAAGGGTGACTTGACTAATGACCAATGTTATCTTAAAGATAACTAAGTAACTTCAACTTTAGAAACCCACATCCAGGCTATCAGTCCATTTTGCCATATGGTGTGATGAGTGTTGTGTATGAGGCATAGTACCGGGTGACACAAAAAAAGCGTTCATCACCTAAACTTGAATAACGAAGAGGGGTCGTCTGGGACCTCCAGTGGTTCCAGCAGGATGGTGCCACCCCCCACACCTCAAACGAATCATTGGCATGGCTACAGTAGCGTATCCCTGACCGACTGATCAGCCGCAGGTGTGACCCTGAGTGGTCACCGCATTCACCGGACTTGAACGCCCCAGATTTTTTATCTGTGGGGATACCTTAAGGACATTGTGTATGGCAACAATCCCCAGACTATCCCTGACCTGAAGGCAGCATTCACAGCAGCAATAAAAGCGATCCCAAGGGAAGAATGTGGGAGGGTCATTGAGAATTTTGCCCACCGAATCCAAATGTGCTTGCAGCACCAGGGAGCTCATTTACAGCACATTTTTTGAGCGCCAGTTAAACAATGAGTTTTTGTGGTACAGACTTGAAACGTTGGAGATGTCTGCTACATAGACTTAACCTAATGTAGCTGAATTTTTGTGTTAATCTAAATAAAATTTTGAAAGTTATTCGATTTTTATTGATGAACGTTTTTTTTTGTGTCACCTGTATATTTATTATTTCCAGAACACCTTATGCCACTTTTCATTTTATTAAAAAAAAATCAACTTACTGTTCCTATATTTGATAAAGAAAATGTTCCATTAGATAAATCACTAGAACCAAGTTTTCCTGCACTTCCTAAACTTTGTAGTCTATTTAATTCTCCAGCTATTTCTAATATACTCAAAGACTGAACATTTTTTACATTTGGCACAGTTAATCCTTCTGGTGTGTCCATAGCCAAACCTATATTGTGGGATGCCTGAAAATAATCAGATACGAGGGGTGATTGATAAGTAGTGAACCTCGATTGGAAAACCGTGCAACACAATAATACCACATTTTGCACATGCACTATTATGTTCCTCCGGCTCTGTCACAAACTTTCATCACATTCGGCTAAACTGTTGGGTTGTGACAGGTCATAACAATCAAGTAGGGTCTGTTGTTATCAGAAAATGGACCATATCGAGGTGAGAGCTGTGATTAAGTATCTGCATAAAAAGGGTCTAACACCGAAAGCCATACATGATGATATGGTCGAGACATTAGGAGATGATGCTCCTTCATATGCCACAATTAAAAGGTGGTCAGCTGAATTTAAGCGTGGTCGAGACAGCCTTGAAGACGAACCACGCCCTGGTCGACCAAAAACTGTGACAACACCTGAAATGGTACGCAAAATCCATGATCTGATAATGAATGACCGGCGAGTTACTGAACGATTCATAGCTGGGGTAGTTGGTATTAGCCAGGAGAGAGTTCATTCTATTATCACTAAAACTTTGGAAATGACAAAGGTTTCAGCACGATGGGTGCCAAAGCTTTTGACGCCTGATCAAAAGCGTTCAAGACACATCATGTCAGAAGAGAATCTAGCCTTATTTGAAAACGATCCTGACCGCTTCCTAAAACAAATTGTTACTATGGATGAAACTTGGGTCCACCACTTTCAGCCAGAAACAAAAGAGCAGTCAAAACAGTGGAAACATGTGACATCGCCGACCCCAAAGAAGGCAAAGACTGTTTCATCGGCAGGAAAGCTGATGGCCTCAGTATTCTGGGATTCTGAGGGTGTTCTCATGGTGGATTACCTCTAAAAGGGTAAAACAATTAAGGGTGGATACTATGCAGCACTTATAAGGCAGTTGCTGCAAGATATTAAGACCAAAAGACGAGGAAAGCTGACCAAAGGTGTGATTTTCCACCAGGACAATGCACCAGTGCAAAAATCAGCTGTTGCCATGTCAGCAATCCATGACTGTGGTTTTCAACTTCTTCAGCATCCACCCTACTCTCCTGATTTAGCTCCCTCAGACTTCTATCTGTTTCCTGCTCGGAAGAAATGTCTTTCCGGTAGGCATTTCCCGTCTGACGATGATGTCATTGCCGCTGTGAATGATTTTCTACACACCCAAGACAAAGACTTCTACAGAACTGGAATACCGATGGCAGAAGTGTATTACATTGGAGGGGGACTATGTTGAAAAATAAATGCATTTGATTTGAATTTCTTGTTTCTTTCTGTGTTAGACTCACTACTTATTCTTATCAATCATCCCTCGTACATGTATGACAATAACATGTTGTCAAAAGCATTCTGAAAGTTTTTAGTGGATAAAAAATACAATAATACAAGACAAATACATTTGGTAATGCAAGTTGAGTGCCAAAAAGTATGAAGATGCCCTTTACAGCAAATTATTCAATGTTGTGGGCTCAGTAAGTTTCTCAAAGACATTCTCATCAGCTTTCATGTGTTATCAACTTATATTTATTAACCTTTGAGATAATTCGAACAATTGTTTCAATTTTAATTCAAGATACATTATGGGAGATTCGGTAACGAGTTGGCAGTTCTCACTATAATAGTTAAAAACTAGATAATGTAAAGGCAATTTGGTGAAAATTTCATTCAAATTGATCCACTATGAAACGAGAACTAAGCGACTGAAATTCCCATAAGCCTCGGTCATCATTACTAAAGTCAGTACGATAAACAGCATAGTCTCGATTATCCATTCAATCGTTTAATAGAGAAGGAAAGTTATGCAGTAAATCGGCTTACAATCCACTAAAGATCGCAGGCTAGCGCTGCCATCTAGAGTTGATTATGGCCTGGATAGGTTAATTAATGTCTAATTAATAATTTAGATAACATTTCAGGCCTAAAGAAAGACCTGAAATAGGCAGATTTAGCTCTTGCATAATGCATGTTTAATCAAATAACTGTAATTAACATAGATTCCACTACCATAAAATTTGTGTATGGACCACAACAGCAACTTGTTATGACAACTTTTGTATCAGGTTCTACAGGTAAATATATCATTTTACTTACCTTATAAGTTATATGTTGACATTTGGAATCTAAACTGGAGTTTAAAATTGGAAAATCTGTTAATGCCATTGATGCAGCCTTAGAAAGAAAAAAACCCAACATTTTCTTAAATTTTATTCTATGGTTATTTACAATAAACAGCCACAATAGAACAGGAGCCCAGGGGGTTAACCTAGCTGAAAAGTGTACCAATTTTCTCCTATATGGTATCAATGCATGTATATCTGGTATCATCAGAATGTAAGTCTGCCGGGTTTCTGGTGGTGGGTGTGGTATTCCCCCCCCCCCCCCACTGTTCCCGTGGTCAAAAAAATTGTGCCAGGATGCATAAAATACTAATACCTAGCACGTATGGAAGAGGCAATACTCTGCAGTTTCAGGAACAATTTTTTTTTTCAAAAACGAATTTTTAACCCCATAAAACATTTTATGCCCAAAAATCAATTTCTTGTAACCGCAGTTTATCGTTTCTTCTATACGTGCTAGGTATTAGTATTCTATGCATCCTGGCTAAAAATTTAATTTTTTAGAACACAGGAACAGTGCCCACTAATCTAGCCTAGTTGGGGGCGTGGCATTTTGGGGCGTGGAATACCACACCCACCACCGGAAACCTGGCAGACTTACATTCTGATGATACCAGATATACATGCATTGATAACATATAGGAAAAAATTGGTACACTTTTCAGCTAGGTTGGTCCCCTGGGCTCCTGGTCTACAACATCACATATAATATGTTTAGAAAGATAAATCAGTTTTCATATGAAACTAGGAAGAAATATCAATAAATAGTTTTAATCATTTATCAACAGGCCAAGATATATATTCAACATATTTTGGAAAACCACAAAAGCTCTAATAAAAAAGTTGGGTCAAGTTTAATGCTGTACCATATTCACCTTTATAAAGATTGGCATGTATGATAATTTGATTCCTCGTTTTTCAGCAACATATTTTATTTCTTTCCGTAACTGTACAAGATTACTGAGATCCAATTCGTCATAGTAACCAAAGTGGGGTATAGTTAATGCTTCACTCATCACTTTCACCATAGCTTTAGTTATTCCTTTAATAGGTTCTGTTCTATCTTTACCTAATACAGGTCGCACTATAGCTGGTGACTGTTCTGCTACCCGAGATACAGGAGTAGATTTAGATTTATTTGGTACAGGTTGTTCTGGGAGAGGTGCAATTTCAGTTAAATGTTGTGTAGCACCTAAAATTAATTCTAACATAATTAACTTCATGCTGTATTTAATTAATTGCACATATATCTTTTTGCAAAGCAACAAGTAATCAAACTGCTTATTTATACTCTGCCTGAGCAGAAAATTCTAATTATCAAACTTAGTCAAGTTATTGATGGCATGAAACTGTACGCCAAGTTTCAGTCTCCCTAAGCATTGGCCAAGCAAATTGCTGTTCTCTTTTTAGCCTCAGCAGAACCTAATAAACACCTACACCAAGTCTCAACATTGCAGCTCAATTAAAAGCAGTCTGATAGACAGACAGATCGACCAACACACAGACAGATGAACCCATTTTAATAGTTACCAGCTTTCTTCGAAAGATGAAGGACAATAATACTGAAAATAAATATTAAAAGACATTATAGTTATCCTTTTAAAAAAAAACCATGTAGTGGGTATGATGACAAAATATATTACCTTCTAGATGTATTAATACATCTTCTTTAAGGATTCTACCATCTTTACCTGTACCTTGTATATCACCTAAATCAATCTACAAAAAATAATTCATACTGTTGCATATAATCTTTTCCACATACCTCTCGGATCAAATACTTCTGCAGATGTAAATATTATACATCTCAAATTCGACTCTGAGAGACTTATCTGTGTACAGATGGGACTGTAAAAGTTTTCAGCAAGCTTTATATGTTTAGTATTTGTAGAGCCCTTGTTGATATAAGCTGCCATCTAAAATGTTACTGGGGGTGGGGGTGGGGTAACTTACGGTGTTTTCCATAGCTAATCGTCTAACAGCTGGTGTAGCCAGAACCTTAGAACCTTTAATAGTCTGGTGTGTACTAGATGGCACTTCTTCTACATCATCAACATGGTCTGTTGGTGCTATAATAATATATATTATATTTATAAATTACTAGAACGATGATAATCTGAATTCACAGGTTGCATTTAGAGCTAGATAAATTGATTTAAATATACCTATCGCAAACCTCTCACAAATAATTCATGACACAACTTCAACAAACAAGTTTTACTAGTCGGTCATTAAATTGGACAATAATGTGAGATGATCTTTATCATATGTTCATAATTTTGAAAAGGCAGGCTGCCAATGGTGATTTGTGTTGTAAATATGGACCTGAATATAACATTCAATTTCAACAGCCACGTCAATCCATCCAACAAATAGCTCACATGTACATGTTTCTTAGAAACAAAATAATAAGATAATTTTTTATACTGTTATTTTTTTGAGAAGGGGGGGGGGAGGGAGGGAGTTCAAGGCCCCAGAAATTCAAATTTGGCCTTTTAAAGTGTATGTACAGGAAATATTTCTTATAATTTGAGTGTCATAAGACACAAGGCCTTTTCATCGACCACTGATTAGACATTTGTAATTTGCATTTAATCAAATTTTCATCTTTAACATCCATCTAATTTCAACTGATTACCCTAATCAGTGAATTTATCGACACAGTCATCCAAAGCGATTCACATAAATCACCTTGAGGTGCAATTTATCTATTTGATCGGGTGATCACGTAGTTTTTTCAACTATGTCCAACCAGAAGAGTTGTTTACTACAGCTGATTAGCGCATTTAACAAACTCACTAAAGTGCTTTAAAATGGACTATACTGTCAAATGACATCTCCACTAAATTCCAAGCGATTTGGCAAGACTATAAAAACGCCATTATTATGAATACACAACCTTGTTGCTATTTTGAATAAGGTTAAAATATTGTTCACTATTTTGTCATTTGTATCTAATAAAGGTTGTTTTTATCACCTGCACTAGGACTTACCATCTTTTATTTTATCAACCTCTATATCTAAAAGTGGTTTACCAACTTGAGCCGTTTCATCCACGTCATAATGAAGTTTACGAATTATACCATCAAATCGACATGTAATAGTAACAGATGCTTTATCACTCTTTACTTCACAAACTGGATCAAACTGTGCTATCTTCTCTCCTTCTTTAACAAACCTATTCAAATAGACACCAATCTATATCAATATGTCCTGTAGCTCAGAAATAATTAATCTCTAATAACATAGGAACATTCTTAAAATATGTGAAAAGAAGACTCAAGTCCTGCTTTTCTTTTCCATCCAGGCTAATGGAGATGGACATATGCCATGCAGTGTGTTATGAGTGAAATATTGCCCAGCCTACTCTTATTTTGAATTCCAACTGTCTGAGGGTTCTCAGTTTTCCATCTCATCTGAACTATTAAACATGGAATGGGATTTAATGTTTCATCAATGCAATTCTTTGGTCATTTTAAGACAAGCATATGGTAATTTTGATTTCTATGGTTACATGTGGAATTTAGCCTGGATAGCAATGTTTCTTCGATTTCGAACGGCCAAGGGTTCTTCTATGTGCACATCAATTTTCCAACACTTTCCTTGTCAGTGTGCATGTGCCACCCTTGACAAGTGAAGGTTGGGCTTGAACAATCATGATTGAAAGTTCCTCTTGACCTAAATTTTGTAAGCCAACTCACCATTCAAGTACTTGAACTTCTCTGATACCTTCTCCTATATCAGACAGAATGAACTCTTTGATGGCATTAAATGCTGAAGTCACAATATTAGATAAACAATTTAAGCAAGCAGTTGCCATAATCCAGTTACAATCCTATATGCACTAATATCGAAAGGAACCATGATCTTTGAGATATAAACAAATATTTTAAGTTTCATCAAAATTAGATAAAAATTGTGACCGCTAGAGGGTCCACAACCTTGGCATTACATAGATACACTATTTGTGTATGGGGAGTGGCCATTTTGTCTGATAGTTTCGGTCCGATTTACACAAAATTTGAACTCAACCGTAATTATGGTATAATGGTGTTACATATGAACATGACTTTTTGTAAATTCAGGGGCCATAATTCAGAAAGTTACGATCTGACAGGAACCGAGATCTTTGGGATATAAACACACATTTTAAGTTTCATCAAAATTGAATAAACATTGTGACCTTGATATTACATACTTTACACTATTTGCATACAGCGAGCCTCCATCTTGTCAGGTATAACGGTGTTACATATGAACATTTTTTTTTTAAATCGGATAAAAAATTGTGACCTCTAGAAAGTCCAGAAGCTAAAAACAAGATTTTTTGTACAATCAGGGGACCATAATCCAGGAAGTTACAGTCCAGTATGCACTAATATAGAAAGGAACCAAGATCCTTGGGTTATAAACATGCATTTTAAGTTTCATCAAAATCAGATAAAAATTGTGACCTCTAGATTGTCCAGTCCACACACTAAAACATGATATTTTGTACAATCAGGAACCATAATCCAATACCGTACATGACAATTTCGAAAGGAAATGAAAAATGAAATGAAATGGAGTTTAACGTCTTACTGTTCTGCTCCGACTGGGCATCCACATGATAATGTGGGTATATAAAAATATCTTCTTCAAGCTGACATCTAAGCCGCATGAACAAAAACCTACACTGTTATCATATGCCAGTTTTATGCTATATGACTGAACTGACCAATGGGTCCTAGTGCATATATATGTAAGTAACATTTTTTTTACTATATTTCTTTTTTAATCCTAAAAGATATGTGTCTCATACTTTACAGTAGACAATTTACAATTTTTTGTTACAATTCTCCAAGACCTTTATTGTTGAAATGGAATGATGGCTTGGAAATAATAATTCTTTCGGTCAATATATTCTTTTTGCTACAAAGTTAATTCTTTGTTAGTTTTTATCTCAACAATAGTGTTTTATCCTTTACATAATCCTAATTCCATAAAATAAAAAAAATTTCAGTTATTCTTTACATCCATTTATTTCTATCTAGTACATCAGACATTATTTTACAATTTTTTGTCTCATTCATCATCCATTTGAGCAGCAGGCAGGTCTTAAAGATGTATGTCAATGAAATATGGTGTGAAATAAAAATGAAATGTGGTTTAACGTCCAACTGTTCTGCTCCGAACTGGGCTAATGAAGACGGGCATACGCCATACAGTGTGCTATGAGGGAAATTTTGCCCAGACAGCGGCACTACAACCTACTCTTATATCAAATTCCAACTGTCAAGGGATCCTTTACGCGCATGCCAAAGTGTACATGGGACCTTGGTTTTTTGTCCCATCCAAATGACTAGATAGCTGTCCTTGTCAGACCCTATGTCCTGCATCACTGACACGGGGGAACCACGCTGGAAAATCTGGATGAACTTTCTCGGCCAATGCAGGGACCGAACACCCAACCTCCAGGCTAGCAAGCCAGCGTCTTACCCACTTAGCCACCATGACCCCCCATGAAATATGGCCTTTATCACCCAATAATTGAAATTACCTGTCGATCCGTAGAACACAAGACATATTGAATATGAGGTCAATGTACAGACTAATTTGTTATGGATTGGAAATTGGCCGATCATTTTCACATTATTTTCATTACTAAAATGCAGAAGGACCCCGTAACACAACAATAGACATCAGATCAGAGTCAGGAATACGTTATGCAAGGAAGCAAGTCTGTAACTCAATATCATCCACAGTCTTCGATCATTGCAAACACAACTTATTGGTCAATTTAAATCAACATTGATGTTGTTACCGTACCGTGAAAAGATGGGCCTCTGGTATTCAATATTTAAGACAAAATGGAAATTTTAAAATTGGCACACAAATCGCTTGTCAGAATGCTTTCAAGTGCCATTTATAATGAAGCAACTCAATGAATGAGGCTAAACATATCCCACAGGAGAATACTACCGATGTAGACTGGAATAACCAGATGACAAAGACTTTCATTTAATTTGGACTCTTTGCATATTTCGCCGAACATAACTGATTAGAAATTACAGTAAAAACAGAAACGATTGACTGTAAATCAGTTTACATACATTCATATTACATTATTGTGTTGTGACCCAGTTGTGTCCATTTCTAGGTGCCAAAGAATAGAGATGTAGCTCCTTTAAATATGTGTTTACTTACATGATGATAAATGGAAACTTCTTGTAATATCTATAGATATAGATGTTAATACCAAATTACTACTAGATGAATGACCTTTACATAGAAAACATGGTGAAATACTGTTAATAGTTCTACCATAAGCCTGTAAATTAGAAATTATTACAAGTGATAGTAATACTACATGCAGTGGCGGCGTCAAGGGGGGGCAAGGGGGGGCATTTGCCCCCTCATAAATCTGGTATGCCCTCTGTTTGCCCCCCTCCCCAATAATTTTGGAAAATAAAAAAAAATTACTTGTGATATGTTTCGGTAATCAATACCTTCTACGGTGATTAAATCCCACATCCCTACTCAGTCATAGACTTGCATGTTGTAGAGTCTGAGTGATTTCTTACCACGCCCATCCTGCTGTAAACCTACTATAAACAATAACATGTGAACCACTTTTTACGATCCTCAAAGTGTGACGGACAGACAGACAGACAGATGGACGGACGGACAGGCGGACGAACCCATTTTAATAAACACAAACAAAAACACAACAAAAATTTTATTTAATTTAGTAATGTAGCCTGCCAATATTAAAGATACATTAGTTAAGTGTTTAATAAAGAGTTGGTCATTCTTGCTATAATAATTCAAAAATAGATGATAAAAAAGAAAATGTTGAAAATTTCAGTCAAATTACTTTGTTCTGAACGGAATTGTCACTGTTGGAAGTTTGGACTAGAAATAGGCATCAATTGTGTCTGCACCCTCTATGAAAATTGGCAATCTGAATCATTTGATTGACAGATGATAACTCCACCCACATATTCTCAATTATCAAGTTAAGTGCTCAATGGCTATGGTAGCCTCGCTTGGCAGGCCTTTCATCACCAGTTTCCGGTAGTGACATCAGCGACTAACAGTAAACGTTTAAATCCAAACTGTATCCAAGCCATCCGTGGGTCTACAGAGTTGATTTTAAGCTTGAGCGTGTAAATAAAGGTTATTAATAATTTCTATAACATCTGAAGCCTAAATAAAGACTTGCAATAGGCAGATTTAGCTCTTGCATAATATATGTTAAATGACAACAGCGAAATATAGTGGCTGATACAGATACAATTACCGATAGTGACTCATTAAAAAATATGAAACCAAGCTGATTTGGACCATGGCTGATTCGGACCAAAAGTCAATGCTGATTCGGACCACATTCTAGGCTTATTCAAAACACCACTAGGCTGATTCGGACCACTATGAGGCCGATTCAGACCACACGATACACAATAAAAAAATACTAGAAACTGAGATTTTGATATTTAATATAATTATGCTTTATGTACGTCAATTTATGTTTATATTCCATTTTTGATGTCACAGTGACTGTATTAACAGAGATTATCTCATTAATCTTATGTAAATTATTATACGTTTTATGCAATTTAAACATGCCAATTTTATTTTATAAACTTCATAGCTTGTTTCAGAATCCATTATATATATTGTGTATATGTTATAGAAATACTGTTTAAACAAATTTTTGTAGTACTATAGGACTTCTTTTTCGAAGTACTGATATGCCATATGTGCTAATACGTCGCTATGATATCAAAATGTGCTGATTTCTAAAGACTAAAACAGTCTGATTACATCTGTGTAATGAACATATGTGTAATGAGAGGTTAAATATGTATTGTTTACATTGTTATTGAATTTGAGATGTATTAAAAAACTGTGTCTTTTTTCTGTGTTTTTTTTACCTAGGCAAATTTGTGACTTTTTTACTGTGACTTTTTTTCCGCGCACCTCTTTTTCTTGTGTTTATTTTCTGGTGATCTTTTACAAGACTACAGCATAAAATAGTTTCACAACTTTATTTCTAAGTTGTAATGGCTTTGCAGGTTCCTCGTTCTCAATGATAATGGCTGCTAGGAATTTCTGGGTGAGCTCTGATCCAACTCGCTTCTACACCCTAATTTATACCCCCTAATTTCTGCAGGTCTAAGATAACCTTGACGTTAATTTCCATCCCATATAAGGAATAAAACTCTTTATTTCCCACCACTAAGATAGGAGACATTACCTATTTTTGTCTACCAACCATGGGTCAATAAACAGCCAGAATTTGATGGATATTTTGACAATGATTATGATTTAACCAAAATATCACTGATAACTATATATTCTCGTTCATTAAGTATGTGAGACTAGACTCTATGGACAGAGTGAAGAAACAATTTTGCAAATAACCCAAAATTGCCTCAAGGACCAAAGTGCTACAATTTATGTTAATTTCAATAAGTCATACAAATTTGAAAATGTATACTAGCAGTACAGTAGCATAACAGAAATTTGAATATGATGTGTATAAAAACAATCAAAATGTTTATTCTACCTTGTTAAGAAAATAAATATAATAGATTTATAGACTCAATTTTAACAAGTAAACAGGTAGCATCGTGGAAAATGTACTATATTACTACATGAAAATTACTCAGATCTTTTACTGACAGCCACAATGGGGAATTTGTGTGATTGGATCTGATTGTTTATTGGATTACTAGGCTTGTCATTAATTAACAATAAATGGTGTGATTAGGTTCTTGTATATTGCTACCTGAGTTTTATACTTTAAAGTGTGATTTAATTAACTTCATTTCATGTGTATATGTGTATATTGCTAACGAAGTTATATACATTTGTCAGCCAATTTAGTGTATTGCTTTCAACACTTGCCTAGATCAAATGAAATGAAATGGAGTTTAACGTCCTACTGTTCTGCTCCTAACCTGGGCTAATGAAGACGGGTTGCCTAGATCAGGAAGTAACAGAACACAGTTTTTATGGGATACAATCACTAGTTTTATTCTAAAAGCAGGACGTTTCGACAAGTATCATAGATGGCAACCCTACTCGGCAAAATAAAGACACACATGGTCAACACCGATGTCCTGTGTGTCATGATTAATTCAATCAACACGGTAAAAAAAAGATCAAGAGAAGAAGACGACGACGAAGAAACCACAAAAGCTGATCAAACGGCAAACCTCGCACTCCGTAGAAGGATATCTCATGTTCGTCACTACAGCACTGGCGATATGCCCAGTTGCTTGCCGGTTTTAACACCAAAGACGAACACTAATGAGGTACCTCCTACGGAATGCGAAACGCCAATTGACCAATAAATAGACAAGACAGAGAGGCATCCATCCGGACAGTCAACATGGCGGGCCAGGTAAAAGTTCTACAACTAAACGTTAATGGACTGGCTCCCAGATGTGCTGAGCTGAGAAAATACATCACCCGAAAGATGTAATATGCCTCCAAGAAACCAAGCTACTACCAACTAAGAACGACATCTACTTGCCCAGATACACTTGTCAGAGAAGGGACAGACCGGGCAGCACGACACGTGGCCGCGGTCTTGCCATCTACGTCAGTGATAACTTAAATTATATTTCTGTTTCGCTTGACGTAGAGGACCCTCTAGAAGCAATGGGCATAGCCATCACATTGAGCAATAATACAAAATTGACAATAGTGAATGTCTATGTACCCCCAGATGTCACGAGAAAACCAGTTGACTTCCAGTCACTTCTCGACCAGCTTCCTCAGGGCGAATTTGTGTTTTGCGGGGATTTCAACGCAAAACACGTCCTGTGGGGGTCACCGAGGAATGACTGTCGGGGGATTAGCTTATGTTCAATAATAGAAGAGAACGACCTATGCGTACTGAACGACGAGAGCCCTACTTTTGTTGGAGGAAATGCCCCACCTTCACACCTGGATCTCACGCTCTGTACGCTTGGTATGGCAAACCGCTGCGACTGGCAAGTACACGAAGATGAAACACTTGGCAGCGACCATCTACTGATAGAACTCTGCATCCAATGTGAAACAACCAGGGAAGTCTATAACGGGAAACCCAATTGGAAAATAAAAGAGGCTGATTGGGCTAACTTCCGTGTAGGCTGCCTTGGGTGGAAAGAAGAAGACATCATCGATGCCAACATCGACGTGTACGCAGCCAACATCACAAGTGCTATTATAGGAGCCGCAGACGACTCCATTCCCAAGACTTCTGGAGGGCAATCAAGGATTAGAAAACCTTGGTGGTCACCAGAATGTCAGAAGGCCGTTAACGAAAGAAAGAAGGCACTACGCCTACGGAAACGCCACTACAATGAAGTCAATCACCAAAACTACCTGAAGTTGAAATACGCCGCAAGAGACACCATCCGGAAGGCACAAAGCGAACACTGGATGACATTCTGTAATGCGTTGAATCAAAACACGCAAACAGGTGCCGTCTGGAAGAAGCTGAACACCATGAACGGGAAGCGCAGATCATTCAACATACCAAACCTAAAGAATGGAGATGAGTACGTTACCAACGGCAATGAAAAGGCAGATCTACTTGCAAAAGTTTTCGCCGACGCAAGCAAGGACGAAAACCAATCACCAGAGTTCCTGAAGAGAAAGGAAATCTTTTACTCACAGCACCCTTCATTAGAAATGAACCTAATGAAGGGGCTAAACTAATCAATCTACCCTTCTCTGAGGAGGAGTTAAATAAGGCTCTTTCCCTCAAGAAGGCTAGTGCGGCTGGTGAGGACAAAGTAAAGTACTTGATGCTCAAACATCTGCCTAGAAATGCCAAAAGGATACTACTAAACTTCTTCAACACATCCTGGCTGGCAGGAGAGGTACCCAAAGAATGGCGGAAAGCCAACGTCATCCCTCTTCCAAAACCAGGTAAAGAGAGAACAAAGGCAGAGTCCTATCGACCAGTAAGCTTGACATCCACACTGTGCAAAACCTTGGAAACAATGGTTAACATACGACTACAGTTCTATCTGGAGAGCAACCGACTGATCGACCAAAATCAAAGCGGGTTCAGGAAAGGGCGTTCAACAACGGACCACTTGGTGAGTCTACAGCAAGTCATGTCGCAGGCACTCCTCTCTGGGAACCTGTTATGTGTCGTGTTCGTAGATTTAACTAAGGCTTTCGATTTAGTCTGGCTAGACGGGCTGCTCTTCAAGTTAGGACGTATTGGTATAACAGGCATAACGTTTCGGTGGATCAAAAGCTTTCTGAGCGATAGAAGGATACAAGTGAATGTAGGCAGATTCCTGAGTGCCGGGCAAACATTAGAAAATGGCACGCCTCAGGGGTCGGTTATCAGTCCCACTCTCTTCAATATCATGATCAACGACATACAGAAATCTTCCTACCTCGACGCCAAAACTGAGTTAGGAAATTTGCTGATGACAGTATCATATGGAGGAAAGGGAGGAACTTCTGTGAACTACAAAAGAACATGCAGAAGGCCTTAGACAAATTCATGGCATGGGCAAACGATTGGGGATTCAAAGTCTCGGAGAAGAAAACAGTCGGCATGCTTGTAAGCAGGGATAGAGGGATAAACAGAATGACTCTGTGCATGAACGGGAAAACCATCGAGTTTAAAGACCAAACCAAGTTCCTTGGCGTAATCTTTGACCGAAGGCTGACCTGGAAACCGCACATCGACGAGACTGTAGATAGATGCACCAAAATCCTAAACTTAATGAGGAAAATAACGGGCAGCACATGGGGTGCCAATAGAGTTACATTATTGATGGTGTATTGTGCTCTAATACACTCTGTATTAGACTACGGCTCTTTGGCCTTCATGAACTGTGCGCCAAAACTCTTAAGTAAGCTTGACACCATCCAATACAAAGCTCTGTGTATTGCGACCGGCGTAGGGCTTGGGACTAGGAGAGAGGCATTACTACAGGAAGCCGGGGAGTTGCCCCTATCCCTAAGAAGAAAAGAACTAGCGACAAGGTATAGGGCCAAGATCTCGCAACTGGGCGAAAGATCCCCTACTTTTGTCAGTCTACAAAAGACAAGATATGTAAGAGATCCTAGAAACAAAAGCTTCGGCCAGGGTATCAGGGAAACAATCAAGGAACTGCAACTGGGGGAGCTTGTGATAAATGAACACGATCCCCCAGCGATCGCCCCTTCGACGCTCCCTATACCGCCGGTTAATCTAGATCTACTACAGAAAACTGACAAGAAAAACAACCCCACTGCTGCACATGCTTTCTCTCTAGAACACCTGGAAGACAACTGGCCGTCTGATGACTGGGACCATGTGTACACGGATGGCTCACGCAATCCTGAAAGGGGCACCAGCTCGTTTGGAATATACCTGCCAAACGGGAAACAGGGAATAAGCAGGAAACTGCCCAATAACTGTTCGGTGTACACTGCAGAGCTTGTGGCCATTCGTGACACTATATCATGGATTTCCCATCAAAAGACTAGTAAGTTCGTCATTCCAAACGACTCTCTGAGCAGTCTGATTTCAATCCAAAATGACAACTCGGACTCAAGACCAGAAGTCATTTTGGAAATCAGGCAGCTGTACCAGAGGGTTATAGAGAAGGGAAGCAAAGTAGAACTCGTGTGCATTCCATCACATGTCAACATTAGAGGAAACAAGGAGGCAGATCGACTCGCCAATGAAGGTCTCAAGGACACAGCACCACTCCGCACCATAGACTACAGCACCACGGAAATCTACAGTATGGTCAAAAGAAAGGTAAATTCAATCTGGGAATTAAATCTCGTTGAACTTGACACATACACATTCCGGCTGGATGACAAGATCTACACAAAGACAACACTCAATCACCCTAGAAGAGATATTTGTAGACTTATATCGAAGCTAAGGGTGAAAGAGCGGCTGCGAGACTACAAACTCCAAGTCATCATCTGTGAGTGCGGAGAAGAATGTACCACCAACCATGTCCTGGTAGACTGCGAGGTATACGAAGAGGAGAGAAGGAAACTAGTGAGAACAATTGAGACCAACAACATACCATTCAACACTAAGAACCTACTCTTCCCGAGACCAGATCTGAAACTGCAAATCTTCTAACAAATCCACGTCCTAATGGACACAGTTGGACTAAGTAGAATAGTGAAGTAAGAGGGGGTCACGGTTAGACGGGCCCGGCATCTAAACACTAAACTACATAGGGGATTTATACCAAACTGGCAGGATAGTGGAGTAAGGGGGAGTCACGATCAGACGGACTCGGCATCTAAACACTATTCCACCAAAAACAGACACCAAACCTACAGAGTGGGATAGTGGAGTAAGGGGAGGTCACGATAAGACGGGCCTGGCACCTAAACACAAACCTCACAAAGATGACATCTACCAAACTAGCAGGGTAGTGGAGTAAGGGGGAGTTAAGGTCAGACGAACTCGGCACCTAAACACTATTCCGCAAATAAAACTGATACCAAACCCAGGGAGTGGGATAGTGGAGTAAGGGGAGGCCACGATAAGACGGGCCTGGCACCTAAACACTAACCCCAAACGATGACATCTACCAATCCAGAAGCAGACGAGATCATCTACCAAACGATATGTTTTATATTAAATGAAGGGAAGAACTTCCCACTAAACCAAATCCATGGCCTAAGGCCAAATGGAAAGATTGCAAAATCATATTCTAAAAAACAGGAATCAGCTTCGGCTCTCCTATGTCTTGTCTCCGATATCACTTATGTGGAAGCAGACGTTAAACACCAAGAACGAACGACGAACAAGTATCCTCTCATCGTTATCAAGCACAATGACATTTAGTAAACTTGATGTCAATATATGAAATTCATAGTGAAACCATCTACATGGATTAAAATATCAGTAACAAAAAAAAATCTAAAAGGTAAAAAAAAAATCTAAGAGGTAAAAAATATTTAACAAAAAAAACAAGCACAACTGTAAATTAAGTCATAATAGAGCTTGTAAATAATTATTTTGTTGTCTTGTTTTTTATTTTTACATTGTTACATGAAAGGTTTTTTTAATTTTGGACTTTTATATGAAACATTTTGAAATGTGTATTAATAAAATATGTATTTTAATCAAAAACATTTTATTACCGCTTTTTATACGAAATATTTTTAAATATGTGTATGTTTTAATAAAATATTGGTTTGTAAAGGAATTGAACTTGACCGCCAAATGTCTCGTTACCACGGTATACACCTTAAGAATTACTTGATTTCGCCCCCATAAAATGATATTTACTGATTAATATATTATACAAAGAACAATTGTCTTTCCTTATTTTAACTTCATTCATTACAAATTATCACAGATATGCAGCTATTTGATATGGGGTTATTCGTTGCAGTAATTATACTGGTTTGCAGCTATTTGATATTGGGTTACAATTTGATAATACTGTAGTATTTATTGTCATGCAACCATATTTTAAATACTCTTGTCATTCAAATAATGGTCTGATTTAGCCTTATGATGGTCCGAATCAGCCAAGAATCTGGTCCCAATCAGCCAAGAATGTGAAGCATCTTTTCCATGATTTATCTCATTGGTATTGAATTAATCAATCACTATAATTAAACTATTTACAGCCATTTTTGTCTTATTATCAAATATAATGGTCCGAATGAACCTTGTCATGGTCCGAATCAGCCAGAAGTCTGGTCCGAATCAGCCAATTAAGAATCTGGTCCGAATCAGCCAGGTCCGAATCAGCCATGGTCCGAATCAGCCGATTACCAAAAATATTACCCATTAAAATGACTCAAATGTCATGATAATTGATGTAGATACATGTCATTGTTAATTGTGAAACACAGGGTACCATTTTATCTCTTGAATCAAACAGGAACACCATTTGGGTCACGCTTCCAATTAGTGATGTGCCAATATGTGTAGCCCTACTATCAGTTTTACCGATATCAGATTCTGACAGCGAAATATATTGGCCAATACAGTCACGATCATAATCGGAACACTGAAAAAGTCACTGATTTATATTATGGTCTTGTTGCTGAAACTAAAACAGTTTTCTAGAGAATCAGAATATTATTATTTATTGTGGAGAAGTCAATAAAATAAAAATCAATTTTCCAAATAAGATATGCATGCTCAGGCCTTAAGTGGGTAATGTCTTATATGTGAGATCTGGTAAAACTATCACTATTTTTATAAATGTAATACACACTCTTAAGCAAAGTTAAATAATAACTATCATTCGAGTAGGCCTATGGAATGGCATTGACCTTGTTTTATCTCGCCTCTAATTTAGTAATTATGTGTTTCTGTCAGAATGTTTTCCAGTCTTTATTGGCATTTATAAATTCAAATGGAGATAGGTGTCTTTCAAAATGACACATTTTGTCTTTGATTCTTACCGATTCTCTTATTCGTTTTACACATGCTTGCAAAGCACGTCTTGTCAGGGTCTGTGCCATCATAGATCGTATTGTATAGGCCTATACGTATAATCCACCTTACTACATCGGTCTCTAGAAAATGTGTAATTAGAGTTATGGCCCTTACATTAATAAAGAAAATACTAAATAGCCCAAAACAACAAATCGTCACTTAACAGATTATCATGAAATTAGTAATTTGTGATTGTGGCAGCAAGGTGGCAGTGGAATGGATAAATACGAAAAAATTCGCGTTGTTGGAAGAGGAGCATATGGGTAAACATACTCTTGTAATAACAATATTTCATGGCATTACTAATACTATAGTCCGGTGGCTGAAAGGGGGGGTGGGGAATCGCCACCCGAGCTGTGAATTTATGAGGCCAAGTTTTCCTAGACCAGTTTTTCGTGTAGATTCCCAATCTGGGTGGTGATCAGGCGTTTGAGGGGGCGTTTTCAAGATATAGGGGGTCAAATGTCTACAATAGAGGGGGGGGGGGCATTATGTTGACATAATATATTAATAAAACATAAATTTCTAGGACTGCCCATCTATATAAATAAATAAATGTTTATAGTTTATGATGCCCCTGGACAACTGTTATGATTTGTGGGGAGCTGGGGTGGGGGTAGCAGGTGTGTGTGTGTGGAGGGGTGGGGTGGGGATAAAATTGTCGGGAAATGAGTTCACGTTGATTTAAATGATGATTGTCTAAGAGCTTGATGAAACATCTCTAAATATGTTTAAAAGATTCATATTGTGTGGGGTGTATGCCTGGTTGGGTGCCCGTGCGGGGGGGGGGGGGGGCAACATGGATTTTTGTGGACAGAAATCATTTCGTTCATAAATTAGCTTAAAGTGGTGTCTCGTTAGCGTTTTCGTTCAAAATATCAAATTATAATGGTACTTTTCAAGAGATTTGGATATGTAAATCAAAAACACAGTAACTCAGAGATATGTTTAGTTATTAGTTTATTCTTTGTCTTTATCATTCCAACCTCGTGGGTTTTCTCCAGGTGCTCCGGTTTCCGCCAACTGCTAAAGACCCCTACGCGCAAGCAAATTATTGAAATAAAACTAAAAACCATATGTTAGTCCCGAAATGACCTAGTTTATGTCGGGTGGACGTTAAACCCCATTTCTCTTTTTGTCTTCATCGGAAGATTCAAAATCAAAAGTTCATATGAGCGAGATAAATATTTTCTTTGTAGCTGACCAACAGCCACATATCCTTTGGATATGCTTCAGAAACAAATTCACATTGTAAATCTTCATTCCAGCCATGCAGCAACAGACCACGTATACGGCAAGATGGTAATAAAGAAAGTTCGGTTATTTTTTCACCCAGAAAATCTTTTCTTCTTGCGTCATCTGCTGATGTAAGTCGCCTTTCGCGATATTTTCTACCTTTGCCCGTCTCATTATATCGATCAAAATTTGTATATTTGGATCATCATTTGCGAAGAGAATGATTGGGATGTCTATTTTCGCAAGAGCAAGAACGCAAAATACAATTTGTTTCAGCACCTCCATTAATTTGCAATGCGAAGAGGAGTAGGTAAGATATTTTGGTGTCCTCGTGGTTGGTTGTCAGTTCTAGGATATTCTCGATACTTTCAATACTAATCTTGATATTTTTTGATCCAATCAAGATTAGTATTGAAAGTGTCGAGAATATTTCGGCCTATAGCTGGGTTAGACAAATGATGTTTCTGATGAGGTACTTGCTGGTTTAGAAAAAATTGTTTGTACCTTGTACGGCGAAAACCGACTTACAACAGTAGATGACACAAGAAGAAAGATCTTCTGGAGGAATTTTAATCGTGATGAAAAATAACAAAACTTTCTTTCTGTATTACCATCTTGCCTGAGTAGTCTTTTGCTGCACATTAAACGCAATAATAGTGTTGCAACAATAGGGAGACAAGCTGCAAAACCAATGATCGAACAAGATGACCCTGTGATACAAGGCTGGAATGAAGATTTATAATGTGAATGGGTATCTGAAGCATATCCAAAGCATGATCAGCCATCACAAAGATATCTATCCCGCTCATATTATAAGAATAAACTAATATCTAAACATGTATTTTTTATGTACATTTCCAGATCTCTCGAAAAGTACCTTTATAGTTTAATATTTTGAATGACAATATTGGCACTGAGCCAAAACTCAAGAAAACACCTTTCAGATCAATTTTGAACGAAGTGGTTTCTGTGCCACAAAATACATTTACCCTCCCTTCCCCATACAATGAATTAATCTTATACACATATTTAGAGATGTGCAGTGAAATTAAAAATTAAAAAGGAAGGTTTTTAACAAGCTCGAAGAAAATCATCAATTAAATCAACGTGAACTCATTTCCCGCCAATTTTACCCCCCCCATCCACACACACACACCTGCTACCCCCACCCCACAAATCAAACAGTCGTCCAGGGGCATCATAAACACTTCTTTAGAGATGGACAGTCCTAGAAATTTATGTTTTATTAATATATAACATGATCATCATTTAAGTCAATATAATGCCCCCCCCTCCACACGCACACCTACACCTGGTACCCCCACTTCCCCACAAATCAAAACAGTTGTCCAGGGGCATCATGAACACTTATATAAAGATGGGCAGACTAAAAATTTATGTTTTATGATTATATTATGTCAAAATAATGACATTGCTCCCCTCCACCCCCCCTCCATTGTAGACATTTGACCCCCTATATCTCAAAAACGCCCCCTCAAACACCTGATCACCACCCAGATTCGAAATCTACACAAAAAACTGGTCTAGAAAAACTTGGTCTCATAAATTCACAGATCGTGTGGCGATTCCCCCCCTTCAGCCACCGGACTACTAGAGAACGTCACGCAACACTGTACGAACATGTATATGCATGTAATTGTAACAGAAGTGATGTGGACGCCCTGGGAATTACCGAGGAATTGCCCTGGCTAGTTGTCTTTCTAAATGCTTCCTGTCAATTAATAATAATAGAATTAGAGATTATCTGGAGTCAAACAATATGTTAGATCAAGCACATGTGGCTTTCGTAAAAGTCATCGTACTACGGACAATAATATATACATTCTCAAAACGATCCTAAATAAATATAAAAATAAGAAATGTTTTTATCAGTTTCATTGATTTTACTAAAGCATTAGATACCATTTGGAGAAAGGGGCTCTTACTTAAATTACTTAAACATGACATAAATGGAAACATCTTTAACATAATAAATTCAATGTATAGGCAGCGTTACTTCATATAGTTAAAACCAACAATGGACTTTCCAAACAAATAAGTTCAGATATCAGTGTCAAACAGGGCTGTGTGTTAAGCTCCACGCTGTTTAATATTTATGTTAATGATTTGCAAACTTATATTGGTAATACAGCAGCTCCTTAAAGGCTCAATACCATTCTTGTTGTAACTGAATAATATGTCCCAATCTTTATTCTGGTCATCAAATTGTACTATTTTAGAATATTTCAATTAATTGATGATACAAATTTCATCTTAACACACCTTATTTAAAAATTTTGAAAAATTCAACATAATGGTTTGAAACGTCTAACGTAAACCTTTTCAAATGAAACTTCGATTTAAAAATATTTTCGAACCCTCTGGACAAGTAAAATAGGATGTAATGGATAATTTACACAACAGGTAGGACACTTAAACATCTAGTACTTAGCTAGAGATATTAATTATTTTCTGGAGCTTTCAAGCCAGCAAGAATGTTATTGTCCCTTTAAGTCTCTGTGATCTCAAAATATCTCACCTCCTATTTCATTTGCAGATGATCTTGTATTACTCTCAACTTCTTCGCTAGGTCTTCAAAAATCGTTTAACCATATGCATGAATATTGTATTAAGTGGAAATTGGAAGTAAACTCAATGAAATCTAAAATAATGTGTTTCATAAATACACCAAAAGATAATCAAATTCTCAAGCGTAAAAATGTAAATTTTACTTTTGGTAAAACTTCTCTGGATATTGTTAATTCATATATGTACGTATTTAGGAGTATATAACAAATAACAATTCTTTTAAAGGAGCTATGTCTGACCTTTGCAAAAATGCAAGGCGACCTTGGTATATAGTATTAAAAGTAAAGTATGCATCCCTAATCAATTACCAACAGAAGTTCTAATTAAACTGTATGACTCTGTTGTAAAGCAAATTGGATGCCTCTGATTTGGAGTTCTCATTTAGTGCACAATGTCAAATTAAATTACCTAAGTGGAGTAATATAGAACGCAACAAGATAACCATAAAAACCTGTAAGTCAATATTGTGCCAACCCCTTAAAACTACTAATAATATGCGTTGCCTTGCTGAGCTCGGAATTTTCCCACTGCAACTAGATATATACAATAGAATGCTACTCTATTATAAAAGATTAAACCAACCAGACATGAAAGATTCAAACCCATTGCTGGCTGAAGCCTATAATGAAGATATTAAAATGGCTAAGTCTAATATTAAACTTTCATGGAATGCCTCTATAACACACTTAATAAATTATTTCAATATAAATCTGTCAAAAACCTCACTAAAATTAATTTCAAATCATCACTTCAATCCAAATTCAACTCCCTTTTCACTGATTCATGCCACTCCAGCCCATTTAAAGCTACAAAGCTTAGGACTTAAGGCTTATTTAAAACGAAAATCTATAAACCTGCTGAATATCTCGGTTATAATAAGAACTTTAAAACAGCCATGACCCCACTCCGACTTAGTTCACACTCACTTCAAATTGAAATGGGCAGATACAAAAATGTCCCCCCAGATCTAAGAATATGTCAACAATGCTCTATGCACAAAACTGAAGATGAAGCACATTTTTTACTAGAATGTCTATTGTATGAAAATTTACGTACCGTTCACTTATACCCAACATTTACAGATAATTATCTACTCTATTCTCTAGAAAATCTATTTAACCCACCCAAAACAGTTGCAAAATCAGTTAGTGCGTTTGTATTCCACACAATGAATCTTAGATTAAGATAAATTGTGTAGTGCTACATGTATTACTACATGTACCTTTTTGTATCAAAATTATAATCTAGATTTCCACGTATTAATATATTTCATTCCATGTTTTATTACTCGATTCATGTAATGCTTCTTGCATTCCTATATCATATTTCCATGTCAATACTTATACTAAGTCTTTCCGTTATCTATGTATTTATACCCATTCATCATACTTGTGTTGAATTTTGTGTCATTATCAGACCAGTTTGAGGTAAATGTTTG